CATTAGAATCCCCATATCACCAGAACTACACCCTGCCATGATAGGTGGACCAGAAAGTGTTATCTTGTCTAGAAATGATGACATGTTGACAGAACTAGAACAGGGATAAAAGTAGCTGTAATATTAGTGCCCAAACTTTCTCTGTACTGTTTTATTCCAGTGGCAATATTTATGGTATTTACCCATACCGTACAAGTTTACAAAGAATATCCTAGCTCTCCAACATAAAATGATGTGAAATAGAAGTGGCATGATATATTACATGCAGGAAAACCACTTGCTAGTCTCTCTCATTTCATCCATGATAGGGTTGACCCAAGGGATATCACACTGATTGTCTTGTCATGATATATAGTCACTGGTTTAGATTAGGTTATTGGAGTGTCATCTTCAGGAAGTTTTATAATTATGAAGATGATTGATTTGCTGTTGTATACAGAAAAGTACTTGTTCATTTTTTTCTCGCCATTTTATGCATGGAAAAAAAAATAGAATCTTGATATTGGAAACTGCATCTTGAAATATCTACTTGATAATACCATAACCTTAATAATTCATTTGAATTTTATTTAATTTTTTTGGCTTGGTTGCATGCCTTGTCTTCTTGGTCAGATGTCTATGCTTGTTATTATAGGCTGGGAAGAAGTGTAAAGAAACGATAAAGGGTCAGATGTCTATGCTTGTTATTATAGGCTGGGAAGAAGTGTAAAGAAACGATAAAGGGTCAGATGTCTATGCTTGTTATTATAGGCTGGGAAGAAGTGTAAAGAAACGATAAAGGGTCAGATGTCTATGCTTGTTATTTTAGGCTGGGAAGAAGTGTGAAGAAACGATAAAGGAGAAGGACGCCATGGTGATGAAGTATGCTCAGAGTGAGGCCAAGCTCCTGGAGTTATCGCAGGCCATTGAGAAGCTGGAGAACAAGAACAAAGATGTGGCCAAAGAGAAGGACAATGTCACTGCCAAGTTTAAAGCTATGAAAACAGATAACACCAAGCTAACACAGTGTCTAGAAGCCAGAGTAAGTTTAAAGCTATGAAAGCAGATAACACCAAGCTAACACAATGTCTAGAAGTCAGAGTAAGTTTAAAGCTATGAAAGCAGATAACACCAAGCTAACACAATGTCTAGAAGTCAGAGTAAGTTTAAAGCTATGAAAACAGATAACACCAAGCTAACACAATGTCTAGAAGCCAGAGTAAGTTTAAAGCTATGAAAGCAGATAACACCAAGCTAACACAATGTCTAGAAGTCAGAGTAAGTTTCATTCTCAAAGTACTAAGTGAGGAAAAAGGGACCATTCCCAGACCCTATTGTACTAACACTGGATCGAAAGATCCCCAAGGGAATTCTCACTAAATTGCAATCAACTTAAGTTGCTTAGAAGTCTGTCACACCTACTGAAGCTGCTAGGGGGTGATTAATTAATGTTTAGCAGCTTCTGTAGGCGTGCCAGACATCTAAACCACTTAAGCTAAAAGCAATTTACTGAAAAACCCCTTAGAGATGGATCGATCCTGTTAGATCAATCTAGGTATAGGAACCCAGTGTAAGAAAGCAGTGGATAACCCTATGGAGTATGCCATACTTCAAATGTACATTGTTGCAATATGTTTTAAGTCTGTTTAATGTATGATATTACCTAGAATATGAAGATAATTGTTTAATAGATAAGAGCATAGAAAATATGGCATTTCTTAGTTGATTTTGGAGAGTTAAAAACCCATGATACAAATTTTTAGAAATAATGATCTTTTATCTTTAGGGTCGAGAAGTGCGAGGGTTGCAGAAGGAATTGGAGAAACTAAAAGAGGCCATTTCTTCCAATGATGTCAAGGTGAAATGGGCTCAGAATAAACTTAAGGCAGAACTTGATGCTCACAAGGTAAGCCATACTTTATTATGACATTGGAAGTGACGCTAAGGACTGGATTTTTTCAATGGTAAAAATTGTGAACTATACAGATAGTGTATTTTTTTAAGTCTTCTTAAAATGAGAACATTCCCATTGATAATTAGCAACATAGCTGGAGAGCACATAGTTCTTTTCTATGCAGAATAAGACCATAAATGCTACACCCAAACATATTTGTAATTATTCTGAAATTATGTATCTGAAAAATTGATAATATTTTCCTATTGAAAAGATCAAGTCATTACTTTTATATTAACACTGGAAGTACCAGTAATTTATGTGAACCTCAATATACTCTTATAGTGTGAAATAGATCCTTCTTCAGTTTGATGCATATTATTGTAGGAAACCAAAGCAGAGCTCCAGAAAACTATCCAGAAACTAAATGAAACCAGGGAAGAAAATGAACAGATCAGGAGAGATGGGCAGGAAATGATCAAAACATACCAGGTAGTCTATAAATTTTAGAGTTACCAGGTAATATAAAGAGTTTATGGTAGATTTCTATATGATACACATTTCTAAGATGTTCAGGGATGGTTATCAGGTATTCACTAAATCCAAATCTTTTTATTGTAGAATAAAGTCATGGGTTGGAATCCTTAGTTTATCAATTATATTATTCCAGGAATCCGAGGAAGTGAGGTCCAATTCATTAGACATAGAACTAAAAAGGAAAGAGTCTGAGTTGAAGCAGCACAAGCAAGAGAAGAATGACCAGGAAGAGGTGTGTAATATGTACATGTGGGAATAGGAACCATTGAGATGTGTAGTTATATGACAAAATGTAAAAATTGCAATGTGTTACAAAAGGGTTCAGCTTTATTCCTTTCTGGTCAGTTGTTTTTGCATGATGTTAGCAACAAATTTTGATGTTGTATTATCTTTGATTGCAGTTTCAAGAGTATTGTGCATATTTTGATATATGGTTTAATTCTATCCATTGCTTGATCTAATATTTTACTCATCCAGGTGTTTTCCATCATGTGTAGAGAGTTAGACTCCCTGAAGAAACAACATAAAGATGCCCTGGCTGAACTGGGGACATTCAGAGACAAGGTGAGAACAAGACAGATAATGATTGTGGTCATATTGGCTAGCTGACTGATGCACGTACTTTGCATGTTTGCTGCTAGAGAGAGAGAGAGAGAGAGAGAGAGAGAGAGAGAGAGAGAGATATGTTGGAGTAGTGCATTTTTAATGAAAAAAATGGCACATTCTTGTTTATTTATCTGAGGATGTTTGTGATTATTAAAAGTGAATTATCGTTACATTGATATGTCCTGCTGTTACATCAGTGATGTCATCTAAGTATTGTTTACAGGTGAAGTGTTTAGAGACAGAGAGGTTGTCCCAGGAGGCGTCCATGTTGAAGCTAAAGGAGATCATACAGAACCAGAAGCGGGATATTCAGGATTTAAGACAACAGGTGGATGAACTGCAGAATGCCAGGACCCAGTTAGAGGTGTAAGTGGACAGGGGGAACTTGCTCTGATTGAAAAACATCATCTGCTTATAGTGTTGATATCCTGAAGTATGTTTTGTGAGTATTAATGTCAGATACTAAGGGTTAAGGAAATTATATTGAAACTTATCTGGAGATTGTTTTATGTGAGTTATTATGATAATTTTCAGAGAAAGAGAAAAAGTAGAGAAGTTGACGTCCAGCCTGGAGGAGGTGAACCAATGTAACCGAGACCTGGAGGCTGATATGGACGGCTGTAGGAAGAGGGAGGCAGAACTCCTGGAGTTTACTGAGAAAATTAGTGCTAAAAATGCTCAATTACAGTCTGAAAACAACGGGTTACATTCCAAGGTAATTGAGGGGTCTTTGTGGATGGAAGTTGTGCGGTGTCTTATAAAATGTAAAAGTAGCATTCAAATTTAGATGAGGTCAATATTTAAGAAGGTTGTTGTTAATACAGGGACAGTGTTATTGTAGTTAACTATCCATTCTGATTTCAGTTAACAGTATCTAGTACAGAACTAGAGAAGTTGATAACACAGTGACTTTGTTATTGTAGTTAACTATCCATTCTGATTTCAGGTAACAGTATCTAGTGCAGAACTAGAGAAGTTGAATTCCCTCTGTAAAGAATTACAGAAAACAACCCAACAACTGGTAGGTTTCCTGTTTTAGATACATTAGGCTGTACTACTTGTCCTTTGTAACAGGCATAAGTTTACCAGAGATTTAGAGATAATACTTCACATAGTTATACCTCCTTGTAATAATCATATAACTGAGAACAGCCTTTGTCTAATATCTTAGTTTGACAGCAACTGTATAACGCTTACCCTTAACACAGTGTGAACTGGTCATTGTTTGCCAAGATTGCTTTAACTTCCTGTTTTATTTTAGATTACCCCAACAATACATTAAAATTGATATATTCTCATATTCTCCAGAGGGCAAGTGACACTTTTCTGGCCCACTAGTTCAATAAGGTTTCTTTATTCTTTACTGGGATTATATGTGTACTTTAGTAAATGTAACCACTTCTTAAGATAACAACCAGACTTAATATTATATTGTTTACATTACAGACAGAAGAACTTGAGTGTGAGAAGAAGGCCAGGTCAGAAGAAACTACAGAATTTACTGATAAACTGAGGGAGAAAAATACACTGGGTAAGAAGAACAGTATGAGGCAGTAGTTATAAAGATTTCAGCTAGACAAACATTTGTATATTTTTACAGCATTGTTCACTTGTTCTTGTTGAAAGTTGGTGTTTGCATTTGTCTTTGATGTTTATTATAAAACTGTTTTCAGTTGACCAGTTAACGGTGCAGTTGAATGATGCTGTAGATCAACAGAAAACACTGAAGAAAAAACATGCAGGGAATGTTAAAGTAAGGACAGTTATTGAAATGTTCAAGTAAGGACAGTTATTGAAATGTTAAAGTAAGGACAGTTATTGGAACCTTTTTATAAAAACAGAATTTCACATAAATGCAACGCACATTGTAACAAATAGTGATATTAGATTATTACAAGTTAAGAAAACATCAGTATGCAGCATTATGGGACTGTGCAATTGCATGATTATGTTTTTATGAAACCTTCCCCACACATCTAAACATTCTAACTAATTTATAACACTTAGGATTTGTTAAGACAATTGCACCATGCTAAGAAGAGACTTGAGAATTATGAAAGTGAAGCAGAGGAGAAGAACCACAAGATGAACCATGGCTCCAGAGCCAGCTCCACCTCTTCACTGGAGAAAGTCAACAATGGCCACGCTGGAGGGAGCACTGCCACTTCTAGAGGTTCCAGCCAAGAACCACAAACTCAGGTACTGTTAACAATCTCCCATAGAACTATTTTCTAGAAAGGAATCTGTTCAGAAAAAGAGCCATAAACTTGCTAGTTTTCATAAAGCATTTCTAGAAGGATTTCATTCATAAAAGAAAAAAATGAGATAAATGGTTTGACAGCAGTTTATAGTGCATGAAGTAATCCCAAATTAAGTTGGATCACCTAAAATTTCTTGAATATTGTGTAAGATAAATGGATATATTATATTTTTTAAAAAGATCCTTTATCACATTAACTTATTATGTTAGAACATCTTTTAAAAATTAGAAACAACTTCATATTCACAACTGATAGAAAAAAAAGTTTGTTGATAAAAATGAGTGTTATATTATTTCTACAGGACCCCCATGCCATTCCAGCTACTGAAGTGATAGAGCCTGACCGTCAGATGTTGATAGAGAGAATAGTAAAGCTTCAGAAAGCACACGCCAGGAAGAACGAAAAGATGGAGTTTATGCAGGACCATATCAAGCAGCTGATAGATGAGGTGCAGAAAAAAGCAAGGTACATCTACTACAGCACTGATTGTAGAACATTGTATTGACTAGACGGAGTGTTTCAATTTTAACTTTGAGATATTTCACCTTTAAAGTCAGTTCGATGACTACAGCCTGTGTTTATTTTCAGAATAATTCAGATGTATGTGATGAGGGAGGAAGCCGGGGCCTTGGCGCCACTCAGCATGGATGAGAACAAAGTAAGGAACTGAACTAATAATAATAATAATAACAATGTTTAGTGTTCTCCCAAGCAGACAAAACAATCTACTTATTCTAGATCTGTAACTGCATACACAGATATGCAGTACAAACCTGAATAGAAAGTAAAATTATTTACTAATTTATGTATGTATTTTTTATGATATTAATTATTGTGTGTCCTAACATGTGACGAGTGTTTTATGTTTTTGCTATAATCCTAATTACGGTTTGAAAATTTACCATATCAAAAAGTTGTTTTGAATCTTTGTTCATTATTATAATACAGATATTTTCTTAATTGAAATACTGGAAAGTGTGATTTTGTTTATCTTATTCATCGTAATTGATTTTCAAGTTTCTTGCATGTCAAGCATGAATAACAGCTTAGTTATTGCTTTAGTTTGAAAATGTTGCAACCTTTCTTGCATGTTGAAGATTTCAGTTTATCTTCAGTTTCCTAACAAAGCAGTCACTTATTCAACACATTTATGTATTAACAGATCTAATCATGTCAGATCATACATAACTATACTGTTACAGTACTCCTATGTTGATTAAAACAAAAACCTAATCTAAAGCACTTTGATTGTGTGTTCTTCCATCTTATAATGAACTTTTCTTTGCTTCTGTATTCTCTGCATAACAGCAAGCCGTTCGGAGGGAGATTAAGGTATTTAGGAGATTATGAAAGGCTTTTCCTTCATTTTTGTTGTGTTGTTTTGTGAAGAGGGTCAAGTGTGGAGTTAAGGGAAGACTTTTGTGTTAGTGTAGTACAGTACTGCTTTCTGAGATTATTTTTCTTCGGAACATAACAATTGTGTGGCTAGATGGAACTGTTTACATATATTGGAACATGTTATGCTTCTGAATTCAGTCTTGAAAAAGTCCCAGCACACTGATTCAGTATGGTAGCAGTTTTTCTTGAGTGTTTTGGGTCTGTAAAGATGTCTTCTTGTTAATATTCTCAGATAAGCATGAATATTATGATATATAGCAGTAGGGATTTGTAGTCTTCACTGTGACTGTCAGGTACTACTGCTGTGTGCTGTACACATTCTGTATATGAGAGATCTTTCCTGAGCATAGTGTGCAGTATTCTTTGCTTCTGCCTCAGTCACAAAGCACTGCAGAAAGCTTTATCACACTTTCCAATATGACATTGCTTCTGACAAAATGAAACTGTAAAGCTGAAAAGAGAGGGTGTGAAAATCTTGATGAAATCCTGCAAAATGGGAAGGTCTTCATTAACTTCTATAAAGTCTACAGTGTTCTGGTATAGGCAATTTACAGGATTATTTTGATTTTATTGTGGTTCTGGCAGACTTGTTTAAAATGGGGGTGGAATTTGGCTCCATTTCAAGGTTTTTGTCTTTTCTAAACCACCGTTCTCATCCTTGATTATTATAAATTGCCGTGAATCCAGAATAGTATTAGGTTCAGAGTGTACTGTATATTGTGTTTTCAGGCCCAGCTGGCACGTAAAGGAGGTATCATGGCATCCGTGTATAAAATGCATGCTGCAGACGGCCACATGACCATCGAACTTTCCCTGGAAATCATGAAAAAACTGCAAGCAGTATTGGAAGACACCATTTTGAAAAATATCACACTCAAGGTACCTGAACTTTGCATTAAGCTTTGTTAAGAGATATGAGCAATACAAAATGAGAAGCAGTTGCCTTTTGATAAGTAGAGAAACTTGACTCAGACAGTTATAGATGTAACATCATTTAATCTTTTTTTTTTCTCAAACTTTCAGGAAAACTTGGACACACTAGGAGCAGAGATAGCCAGACTCTCCCAAGAAAACAGACAACTCCAGTTAGAGTTTCAGAAAGTCAAATCCTGACAGCCCTGGAGATCATCTGTTGCAGTACAGCATCCATTTCACATATCAAATATATCTGATGGACACCAGGGTTGACATCCATACAATCATTGGTGTAAAGATATCAAATTGTTCATCAAATAATTATTCCTTACATTACAGAAACAGATAAAATTGAAATCCAGTAATATGAAAAGTTTTTTTTTTTTTGTTTCTACCTACTGAACTCTTATGTTTTCTAAATGGTTAAAGCAGTGAAATGGTTAAAGCAGTGAAATGTTTTACGGTCTAACTTGGCTGCGCATGGACCTTCTTATGAATTTTCATTATGCTAATACCCATGCTCTCACATGCATGCACACACGTGCGCATGTGCGCACACACACGAATCAGGTAGTCAAGTCATAATATGGATGTTTGGTATTATATCAGATAGTCATGTCATACCTGGCTAGTAACATACATGTGTGCTGCTCATTATAAATTATATATATATATATGTATATCTCATTTGTCATTGTCACCTGACTACATGTAGTCATTTTCATTGAAAAGCGCTAGCTGTAAAATAAGATAAGCATTTTTGTTCAGTTTTTGGATTTGAACTCTGACCATTTATTTCATTATATGGTGCTTTAAGGTATCAATATTATCCAAAAATGATGTGTTCAGCATAGGAAAGGACCAGAGTTTTATATCTAGCAGTGACCCAAATGCAGGTTTGAAAACAGGAGTTATATTGTCCAATGTAATTGTGTATGTTATGTTATATGATCTGTACCGTAGTATAGACTGTATAGAAGTCTGCAGAATTAAGTGTTGACCAAGGTTCATACTATGTGTAGTGTGAGTGGTACAATGATGGTGTGAGGCAGTCACAGAAGATGAGGTTCAGTAGTTGCTTGTTTGAATAGGAAAACAGTGTATGGGCTGTCTTTATGGTGCATTTATACGGTTGTTAATTCTCCATTCTTAAGTAAGTGCAATATACAGAGAGAACAATTGACCAAGGGTAGATTTTGTACAATTCACATCAGAAATTTGATAAGTTGCATGGACAATAATTGCTAAAATGAAACACGAGGACAGTTTCATTTTAAAGGAATGAGTGCTAAAATGCTGTAATAGTGAGCTTGCCCTTTAGTTGAATGTATGTAAATTATTTTATTGTGAATACAGGAAGGTGAAAAAAGAAAATGTAATAACTCAAAGAAAATGTGTGTTGTTGTTGATAAGTTAACTTCCATATCATTTTCTAATTCTAAGTTTTTTAGGTGAATTGAGATTAAATAAAATTTAGCTACTCTCTTAAAGCAGTGGTAATAGGCATATATTGTAACCGAACTCAATTTTTACTGTTAAATGCTAATTTTATGCATTTCCTTTTTAAATATTTTATTAATGGTAATCAATCGTTGATTGTATAAAATCCAAACCTAATCTATTTTAACTTCAGCCACGGACTTCAGCAGAAATGCATTGACACAATCACATTTTTCTCAACAAACACATTCTCACAAGACTGACGTGTTCTAAATATTATCATCCGGGGACTTGCACATGGTCATGCGACGTCTTGATAGATACAGCAGGTCAACAAATATCCTAACGTCTCCAGTTTGTGGTACGGTAATCTTTTGATGATCATATCTGAGCAATTAGACGCTTAAGCTGTCAGTTCACTCTGCTAGATGGCTTGACTTGCCACTCCTTGCTTTTAATGTTACTCTACATCGGCGAATGCAACAAATCAAAACGCTACTTTGGGGGAGGGGGGGGGCTTGACACCCACACCGCTGTTTGTTTTTAAACATATTAAAAATAAGTAAGTAAATTGCAAAATTAATTTATTTGAAAAGCAGGAAAATTGCTCAAAGTCACCACATATTTTAATTTAGAAAAGATATTTAAAATCAGTGGCTTAGTTTTAGGATGGGGGAAACGCGTTGTATATACCGGTGTACGAACTGCCCTGCCATTGCACAGTACAGCTAGGTACCTGAGCTGGCATATATACTGATAGCGACCTGTTTATACACATAATTGACATTCTTAGGACGTTACACTGGGTCACTTCACAACATGTAAAGAGACAGTGTTTTCTATTTTTAGTATAACCTCAAAAGTTGACATCTTCAGGTCAGATTTCTCTCTGCTGGGCCTCAAGCCATGCTGTACGCACTATACTTGTATACACAGTACTGCATAAAATATAGGAGGGTCCCATTGGGTATATATATTACCCTTTTTTATCTCAAGATGCGTGAAATGTTCTTATTAATGAGACTGCTCCATGAAGGACCCAATTTTTATTCCTGTTCCTTTGTGAAACAAAGCCATTATTTTCGGTGATTTTCAGCTCACATTTTAATGAGATATGAATCAAGTTTTATTTACTGTAATTTATGAATTGATGATTTTATTTCCCATGAACTGTGATCACAACCCCTCCCTGTGGGACCCTCATATTTTTACATGTACTTTAAGGCAGACTTGATGTACTTTTAAGCTTCTAGTAGCTATTCTATATTCGGGGGCGTCTCGATAGTCCGAAGGTTCATTGGTCCGAAGGTTCATTGGTCCGAAAAGTGGTAACATTTTTATCGATTTTTTAAACAAGGGTTCATTGGTCCGAAGGTTCTATAGTGAACATTCGGACCAATGAACCTTCGGACTATTGAACCTTCGGACTATCGCTACAGCCCCCTATATTCAGTAATTCAAGACATTGTTCATATTAATGGACTTACAGTGTTGTTTTCCTCAAAACTACTCCTTTCACATTAACACTTTACCACCACTATATTTATATATCAGTGAAGTCTGAAGATAATTTTTATTTAAAAAAAAATTTTAGTATTATTATTTTTCTATTAATCTTTTATTTTATTTTATTATATTTTTTTTGGTATGTATGTGATATTTGAAGATATGAAAAGTTAAAGGGAGGGTAAGTGGGGTTATGTGCTAGTAAAGGAAAAATATAGTTAAGAAATGGAAAAGTGGAGCTGTTATGTCAATATATCAGTGGCCATTGCTATACACCTGACTAGTAAATTTTATTGATCTTTCAGGCAGGTGAACCATGGTTCACATTGATAACTTCACTAAGAAGCAGATACCATGGCAACAGCCAGTGTTCTAGAGGAGACCAGGGATGATGTGTTGACCTGCCAGATCTGCTTTGAGGCCTATGTGTCCCCCAAAGCACTGCCTTGTCTCCATACTTTCTGTCAGGGCTGCTTGGAGGACTACGCTCAGACACGGTTAGTGGATGTTTATGGCCAGTTTCCCTGCCCGACATGCAGGCGAGATATTCAGATAGGCAGTGGAGGTGTTGCCGCTCTGCCCGATAATTTCATTCTTGGAAAAGTAAGAGATTTACTCAATAAACCAAGAAGGAGGTCCCAGGAATGGCTGGATGAGTGCAGTATTTGTTCCTCTGTCAGTGAAGCCAGTACCTCTGCTGCCACCCACCACTGTTTTCAGTGTGACAAGAAGCTGTGTGACAGGTGTCATCGTCTCCACAGACAGGTGTCTGTGACCAGGGACCACCACACAGAGGAGATAGGCAAGACAGGGGATAGCTTCTACTGTAAGCAGCACCCTAGGAGTCGTGTGGAGTATTACTGTGGCAGCCACCATATCTGTATCTGTGTGACGTGTACTATGCATCAGCACCAATACTGTGATGATGTCATACCTCTCCAGGTTGCCATGGAGACCCGGGTCCACACACTGCTGCTGATGGTCACTGAGGTAGAAGAAAGGAAGGGGAGACTAGAAAATAAGAGATCCCATTATAAAACTCTCCAGGATAACATTACAGTCAAGATGGAGAATCTTGACACCCAGATTGACCAAGCAGCTACCCTGGTCACCCTGGCATTGTCCCCTCTGGAGTCTAACCACAGTGCTGAGTGTCTTAGTTTAGCAGACTGTATAGAGCAGCAGTTGAAGGAGTTCCTGGCTCAGGACACCAGTGGAGGTGTAGAGGGAGACTACAGTCTTCTGGGACAGCAGATATCAGTGAGGAGACAGGTCAGGGAGGAGGAGGAGGGGGAGGAGGAGGAGGAGGAGGAGGGAGAGCCAGGGGGAGAGGGGGAGGTGTTAGAGGATACCTCTGTAGACTGCAGAGTACAACATACATTTCATGTACCAGGAGGTAAGACTGACTGTTGTGGGTTACTTGTAGCTACCACCTCCCAGCATATAGCAATCAGCCAACCAACCTCTGACCATGTCTACATCTTCACCATGAAAGGTCACCTCACTGGCCAGTACGGCTGTCCCACCAGAGTAGGACTTTGTACTCATGGTGATAACTTTGTGTCTCTGTCAGTGTCATCTCGTCTGCTTGGCCTTGGGAGGGTATCCTGCACCTGTGTCCAGTATGACCCCAGGGGTAGTGTCCAGTCTCAGACCCCTCTCTGCACTGGGTGGTTAGATGGGAAGCCACAGGGGCTGAACATTTACCAAAACCAGATTTTTGTCACATTTAAAAACAAAACTGTGAAAATATTTGACATAGATGGTAGAGCTGTTAAATCCTTCTGTCCACTGGATGCTGCAGAGTATTTGGACCTTGCGTACTTTGCAGTCGGTGGTGAGTTCATGTATGTATTGGATGCAAATAACCAGTGTGTTATCAAGTGCAATCATGATGGAGAGATGGTGAAGAAATTCTCTATGTTGGCCAGCTGGATGCAGCATACCGCCAGGCTTGGTGGGCTGTGTATGGATAATAGAGGAGAGAAGATTATCCTTACAGACAGCTCCAATAGTCAGCTGTTTGTCCTGGATGGGTGTGACACTCAGCAGCCAAGACAGTTCTTAGGCATTGCTGACGGAATATACAGGCCTCGTGATGTTACTCTGACACCAGGTGGAGCTTTAGTCGTGGCCCAGGAGCATCCTCGTGGTCCGCAAGTTGTAGTGATACACGATGTCCAGACAGTTTTACAGAAATGGTTTGGGGAGCAGGAAGGTCCACCCCCAGGTGTCCAAGCCAGGTGTAACATACAGTAAGGTGTCCAAGCCAGGTGTAACATACAGTGAGGTAGCCAATCCAGGTGTAACATACAGTGAGGTAGCCAATCCAAGTGTAACATACAGTGAGGCATCTTTTAAGTGCAGTGTGAGCAGCATCTTGTGCTCATGAGAACTTTTTTGTCTCTTTAAATGCCAATATTTTTGACATTATTTTTTTTATAATGAAGTTGTATAAATAGATATTATAATGATTATTGTTAGAATTGTTTGAGTCAAAATATGCTATTAAATGCATGAAAATTGACAGTTAAAATACAAATGGTTTTACAAGGGTTATCAACAAGCTATTTTTGTAATTTAACATATTAAAAAGGAAACACAAATGTATGTCTCATTATGTGTATCCACAACTGGAGAATCAAGGTTGTCGTTTGCTGTAAGCTCGTAGTGATGATTCATGCCTCCCAAAGCAAGTCATGGTAGCGATCTGATCAGTCTTTATATTTTCCCTTGCTTTGGTATTCCCTGTAGTAGACGACATCCAAATAATGATTGCTTTATGTTGGGATTACATGTCAACTTTAAATGCAAGATAAAAATGGACATGATCCATATTCCATAATTTTTTTAATAATTATATTCATAATTTTTGCTCTTGTTTGGATATATCGTATCCAGTGCATTTTTTTTTCAGATAAAGTGATTTATTGACAATTTTTCCTCAATATTTAAATGGATTGACTGTACATTTTCCAGCTTTGGCTGGCTAGTTTTCTCGATGACTGTAGCCTCCTTAACATCCGTGCATATATTGGGCCAGCAGTCGTGAATATAACAGAAAAACCTTGACTGTATTTTTACTAAGGAGAAAAAAGTTTCCAATGAAAAACGCGTTGGGTTAAATTGTGAGTTGTTCGGTTTGGTTTACGTCATGCTGATTCCGAGTTGAAAAAAGAAATAGGTTGCGCCATGAACCTTCGCATTACACATGTACAGTGTATTAAATAAATGCTTCCTGATGACATAATCGAGATTTTATATTTTGTTGTTTTGAACATTTTAAGTATCAGAGCGGCCCTTTAATTTGAAATCACAGTTGTTGTTTTGAACATTTCAGGAACTTAAGACATTGTGGCCTTGACTATAATCTTTATTTCTTAAGAAACCGTCGTCTGCTGGATGTGCACTTCACCCTTCCTGGTTAAACTTTTAGTTACTTCGAACAATAAATTAAGCTTGATTCTTGAAACAAAATTGAAAGAATTCTGATCTTTGTAATTTGAATAAGATTTAAAAAGTTTGCGAAAGCGTGGCAAATAAGTAGCCTTCCCTATCGGTCTGATAACACATGTAACAGGTAAATGATAAATGTAACTTTTATATTTTATTCAACGTGGCACGGAACTGAATGCAGGATAAACCTAGGCTTGGTCCAACAATTCCTTAATTTTTTCTGATAATTTGTTTCTGAGATAAATGATACCGTAAGCGTTTGCCAAAACAACTCCTTATTTACAACCTTAGATAAACGTTCCGGGGCTAAATTAACTAACATCCGATTTTGATGATACAGGATCTTTTGCCGATTCTAAAACTACACTCCGTTTTCCAGCGAATTAGTGTTTTGGTTGATGACCACTGGGACGCTTAATTCCTGGTTGTATAGTGTCACTGTGACCGGGATGGCTGTCCTTGAAATGAATGTACGTGCCTCGTGTATTTACACTCTGATAATTACCCACCCTGATGACAGCAGATGTGGACTCGTACTGATTCCCCTAGGGCCATGGAAGGACACCAACAGTGGTGCCTAAGACAGCGTTCCCATGTCTAGATCGATCTGACAGAATCGATCTATCTCCAAGGTGTTTCTCGCTAAATTGCTTTAAGCTTAAGCGGCTTAGGTGTCTGTCACGCCTACTGAAGCCGCTAAACGAGAGTTTATTCCCCCCTTACAGCTTCAGTGGGCGTGCGAGACATCTAAGCCGCTTAACTGGATAGCAATTTAGGGAGAATCCCCTTGGAGATTAATCGATCCAATGTTAGTACAACAGGCTCTGGGAATTCAAACCCTCATCTGAGTCTCTCACTCCAAAAGAGACACTTGCTGGAGTCCCTTGGGAATGGAGGCCTTTGAGGGACTCGGAAGAGTCTCTCTGGGTAATCAAGGAGGAGTTGCTTGTCTTACTTTGGACTGTTAAAAGCCTCTAAAAGGGGTTCATTTTAGTCCAGACTCATATAATCTCACTTAAAAAATTAAGATCAATGAAAAATGCCTTGATGGTGATGGTTTGAATGTGACTAAGTCTGGCGTTGAAAGTCTACACACAGAACACATAGACGTCGCTAAAATGTTATGCAAAAGTTTTGCAAAAGTTTCAAAAACCCAGAATACGCTCTGTGGTTTGAGAATATCATGTGATTGGCAATGGTTATGATTAACCAAAAATATCGGAGTGAGAATATGGAACAATTGTTCCTGTCACACTTCTTAGAAATTTACCCGAATTAAGAAGGGATCTGTACGTGTACATCGAGAGATATCACGTGGACACCGCCTGAAAACGATGGCACCCCAAGTACATTACCTACCTGGGAATGCATATTATACAACGTTAAATCATTTAAATGACAAGTCAATATTTACTTTATTTACTTTATTTACTTTAGATGAACTTATCTGTGGAGACGCTGATTGTGGACGTTGTTCTTGGGACACTATTTCATAAAAACAAAAAGGTCAATCAGTTGACATTACAGTGAGTGCGGGCTACAAGACAACCAACGGTATACCACCTTAACTTAGCTAATTGTAGATCGACGTGCGTTCTCTCTATTTTCTGGAACTTGAGGTATTACAGGACACAGCAGGGGAAAATTATTGCAAGGACATTTGAAATTTGTATTTTCGTGTCAAAATTACGTAAACAATTCCCAATTTTCTTCCCATTCGGAAAACTTGATGGGATTTTTTTTACCTGCATCGATATGACCGATATTAAGTACAACCCCATTTTATACATGATAACACACACACGCATGCACGAACGCACGCACGCACACGCAGACAAGCAAACACACGACTAGAGGTACCCCACCCGTTGAGCAAAGAGACCGGGTACCGCGCTATTAGAACTACCGCTCTACCTCGTTTTAACCCTGTGTTCTTTTTTCACTGAAGGTGGTCTTAGGTTCAAGGTGTTTTTTCCTGACAATAAAGATAAAGGTGGTCAATCATTTCATGCGACATAATTGTTACAAATGTGAAAAATGGAGAAAATTATTATGCAGTGATATAGAGTCAATCATTCGGTACTGTTCCCAGTTCGTTTGGTCATCGAATTCAAGCGCCGAAAGACGGTTAGGGGGTCATTTTCTTTACCCTAGCTGATTCGGTAGGCGTGACAGACATTTAAGCCTCTTGAGCTGACAGCAATTTAGCGTGAACCCCCAGTGAGTTAGGTCGATCCAGATGGATCGATCTAAGTATGGAAACCCAGTCTAAGACGTCCTTAGTTCGACACAGGGTATCAAACGATTTATAAACACAGAACTATAATCTGAGGACTTACTGCAGACGTAAACACTTAATCATTTTACTTCCTTTTTTTTGCCAACTCCCGTATGATGTAAACATTGTAACCTCTGATTTATCATGTGTTCTCTACTCCAAGCCCAGTCCACTTCTCCCAGTCCACTCCTTCTCTGTCCGCCTTTAACAAGGATGTGTTCCTGAGATAGGTTATTACTGGATGATAGCCTACGTTTAAAATATGCAGTCTGAGTCATTTAATGAGATTCAACTGTTATTAATGCTAAAATTCAGAAAAAAAGGAGATACGATTGCCTATGCCTGCAACAACCCCCTCTCTTTGATAATTTTTATGTCAAAAATTTCAAAAAATAAATTCATTTTATTGCGGTTTCCCCGCCATTTTAAAATGTTTCCTTGAGCGGTAGGAAAAAAGCCTTTCCCTTTTCTTAGAACACGCAAACACTGGACAGCAAAATAATTCACTGTATATTTGAGGATTTTTTAATTTGTCGGAAGTTCAATAAATCAAATTAGAATATGTCGGCCAAATAAGTCGTCCCCAGGGTGTATTCTTACCACTTTGTTCTCTCATAAGTACGGGTACAACGAGCAAATAATAATAATAATAATATTAATAATAATAATTGTTCTGAATTTGTTCAGCATCCGGCTTTTACCTTATAAGGAAAAGGGGTTTCCGGTGTGACACATCCAGAGCTAGGTGATGTCACAAGCCGTTCAAATACCTCGGCAAAATTGTGCGGTGGGCAACAAAGCGGAAAATAAACAGTCGAGACGCTGCTCACCTGGGTCAGTCTATAAATACGAACCGCGGCGGAATCAGTTCAATCTGGTCCTCGGGACTGACATCAACAACAACAACAACAACTAAGACTATTAAACAAATCACACGCTTGGCCCGACAGTAATAATTTGTAAACCATGAACGGATCGTCGGGGAAGTACGCTTTAAAAGATTTAGAAGCAAACGGAGATACCACGTCAACTGCAACTTCAACGGTAAGCCCTTTTATACTTGTTTTTATTCACGAAACCTTTCAATATAAAAATACCTCCAAGGTGAGAAACATGGACTACATAAAACTGGTGATCATTCAATTGCCGCGTGACACTATAGAGCTATAAACGTGAAACGGGGCGACGAGTGCTTAATTTAATTTGCAATTCATTCAAAGTTACAGGTGTTCATTACCGTTGAAGCCAAGACGTAGAAAACCGATGTAGAAATTCCAAAAAATTAAAACTGCTTCGAGTCAACGGTGTCAAATTATAAGGAATAATTTCGAAAATAAACTCTGAAACTTTTAAAAACAAAACTGGGCATGCTTGCATCTATAAGACTGATAATTGAAAATATGAGAAGTTAGTGTGCGAAAAAGAAGATAATTATATGTGTAAACGGTCAGGTGGTCAAAAGTGCAGAGGTATCCATGTGATAAGTAATTTATCACTGACGGCATCATTGACAGGTCTTTTTTTCCCCTTTCTTTCTATGTAATCACGACTTCGTAGCGTGCCTAAATGTCGCTTTCCCGGCCTCTCAAATACTGCAGACCAGCGTCTATATGTCGAGTAAATACAGCATACAATAACAGCCGGTGAATTCCGTTTACTTTCAACCATCAAGTGCCAGTAACTTTCGTTGTGTCTACACTTTCAGTTGATTTTACCAAAATATTGCTGCCTCACCGCCGTGACTCGTGGCTTGGTGAATCGGCCACTAAAGTTAGCTAGGCGTGGATTCCAAAAGTTAGGGGTTTAATAGTCACCGTGGTACATTCACAGCGAGTGGTTTAATATCATCATTCACCGCGGTACATTTGTCATTCTTCTTCAGTAGCTGTCACCTTAAATTACCACCTGTAAGATCAGAGTTCGAGTTAAACAAAAGCTGACATGCTAAGAAAACGATACCATTATTATTTTCGATCACAATACGGTATCTTCTGGTTCCACACGGTCGTCAAAATGACCCATTAGCGGGCCACGCTAGCGGTACAGTGCCTCTCTCTCCGCGTGGTGATTGTGACCAGTGTCATGTTAATGGGTTTGTCACAGTTCGCGGACATTAAAGCTACACAGACAGCTTTTATTACCACTGCTATATATTTCCATATCAATAAAATATCTATATAGAACTTTTTAACGGAGGAACGTGTGCTAAAATTTGCATGGGCAGGCCAATAAACTTAAAACGAGACGAGTGTTATGTATGGTAGGTTGAACGGATTTCTTTGCCTTTCGATATAAATATGCTATTAAATTACTGAAAACCAGACTTTTTGCTCTACATCTTTTGTTCTGTGAACTCCTGAGTCTTCTCTGGAGTTTATCAAAAAGTTATAAAGAGATTATAACTTCTTGAGTTTATTAACCGGTGTAAGAAGAAATCTTGAGCTAACACGTGAATGTCCCTGACAAAAGATCATCATTCGCGTCTGTTCCTGAAAGAAAACATCAACTGACTAGTGCATCCACCAAAGAAGAGCATTTGTTTCTAACTATAGAGGGGTGGGGAGGGGGCGGCGAGGGCGGGAAGGGGTGGACTCTGCATCCTAGCTGACATAGATAAAACATGTTGAACTTGAAGGTGCCACCTGTTAGAACAGTATATACCGTGATCGCATAGATAAACCAAAGGTATTTTCTATAATATAATACAGCTCACGAATAAATGGGATTAGTGATCTTGAGAATAATTTTTTTTCACTAGGAAAATGGACATCATGGTGATGGGAGGGGGGGGGGAGGGTATTACTCTGGTTAATTTATATTCCACTCTGTGTGCTGTCTTCACTTACTACTTTTTTCATATGTTTTGGTATGCACATTTATTTCGTCGTGGTTTATCTTTTTTTTTCTGTAAATATCCGGCAATAAATTTTATCCACCGCCAGCATGCATTTTATTTATGGGCCTTTTATTTTCTTCTTTATTCTCGGCGTCTAAGCAACCGCCGTACAGAGCAGTGATAAAATACGTAATAATTACGAACGGCTCCCCGAGTAAGGTCCATAAATGTAATATGATGATGTGTTTTATTAGTCTTCTTTTCTGTTTTCACGGTAAACCATTGATAGATACATATGAGTTGTTGTATAGAAGATGTCCCGGTAAATCTACCTGGGTCCCGTGCATAGGTTAGGGTATTCATTGATTTGATGAAATCATGCTTTAAAACTTGTTTTATTGCATATCTCAAAAAAAAAAAAAAAAAAAAAAAAAAAAATACAAATTGATAAGTAACTAAATAAACATCTCTCTCACTCACTGCTCTTTCACACACCAACACTCAGACATTTACAATATCTGTCAACAACGATATGTTGAAAAGCTAATATTTGTTAACACTTGATAACTAATACAAAATTTTATGATCTAATACAGATAAAAAATAAGAAGTGTCTCACTATCAAACCCTGTCAGGAAAACATTCGCAGATAGAAAATTTTAGACCAAGAAGAGAGGATACAACTTTTTCCATTTCTTATTAAATTTGTCTGTTGTCATATTTCTTAGATTTATATTTCTTTCTGCGATGTAGACCTGTCTCCATTCTATTTTAATACTTTCTATAAAAGTAATGTTTTTCATTTTAAATTTATATATACTGAATTTTGTTAAAATCAGCAAACTGTTAAGCGCAATGCAGTTCATTTGGAATCCCTAGGATTATGTCAGCTGCTGTTAGTTGTAGTATTTGTCCAGTCTTTAAGTGGAACCAGTCTTGGATTTTTCCCCATAGGGGAGTAATTACTTTGCATTCAATAAATAAGTGTTGAAGAGTTTCAGGGTGTTCGTTACAGAAGGAGCAGGTCTCTGTCTTTTATCCCAATATTTCGTAAAAAATTGTTCACAGCTAAAAGTCTTTTAACACTCTAAATTGAAACCAGCGCGGTTTAGTATCTAAAGTACATTGGAAAGGAATGTTATTCAAGATTTCCACCCTTCAGCTGTAAGAGGTTCGTTAAAAAGGAGTTCCCAGTTTGACATTGTATTTGTTTTTTTTTTTATTTCCTTTGAATTCAAAATATTGTAGAAAGGTTTCCCAAGTTTTGTAAATTTTAGTAACCATTTAAATTGGGTTGGAATTATAGGGAGCTCAATTTTTTCAGGTAAATTATCAATATTCATTTATTTCTAAATTTTGTTCACTGCGCACAGCATAATTTATTATATTCCCAAACCTTTCCCTGAACTGATCGTACTGTGTTAGGTAATTCCCCTCTGTATCGATCAAGCCATTTAATTTTCCTATATCTATGCTGTAAAACTTGTATCTTCTGAGTAAACTGTCAATATTGTCATTTAATGACATCAACTCTCTTTACTGTAGTACCCGCCGTCGTACAGTGATGCAGTGTCGGATGGGAAATTTGCCACCAGCACGGACGCCTTGGCGGCTGAGGAAGAGAGTGAACGTGGTCACTGGGGGAACAAGGCAGAGTTTATCCTGTCCTGCCTGGGGTACGCCGTAGGCCTGGGGAATGTTTGGAGGTTCCCTTATCTATGTTATACCAATGGTGGAGGTGAGGAGGCAGAATTAGCATTCATTTATCTAGATACTTTTTTTTTATAAATTTAACTGTAAATTTTATTTAAACTTTCTTTCGAAGGCTCTATGTTCACTTTCATACAGTATGCAGTTATCCAAGAGAAAGTTGTGAACAAATAGTTTATTTATAAAAATAGAATTGTTTCTATTGCGCACCTTTCCACTTTCCAAATTTCAGGAGCTTTTTTAATCCCCTACTTCTTGATGTTGACATTTGTTGGCTTACCCGTATTTCTACTGGAGTTAAGTTCTGGTCAGTTCGTAGGTGGTGGACCTCTGGATGTGTTCATGTGTAGCCCTCTCCTCCAAGGTATGGCACGTTGTTCACTGGTCTGGCTCAGGAAGGTTAATTATCTGTTGCCCTTTACACAAACTTTACATTAAGTTCAATTGTACGCTCCGTTGTTATCCAAATTACATGCAAATGTCTCCCCTCCTACACGAAACAACTTGGGTAAAATTATGCGAGGTCAGTAATAGGATGTACCCATAGCGCTAGTTTTTTAAATTGTCCTTGCATGATTAGAATCTGTTTTTTTTTCACAACATCTATCTTCAAAGTATGGGAACAGGTGAAACTGTGTACAGTTTGATAACATTGATTTTTCTATTTTTATTGCAGGTGTGGGCGTGGGCATGTTGATCATATCTTTTCTGGGGAGTATCTACTACAACGTAATCATCGCATGGGCTATGTATTACATGTTTGGATCCTTTACATCAGAACTTCCCTGGGATGGCTGCAAACACGATTACAACACGCCATGTAAGGAATAACTTTTGTATTTTTTTCATCAAAACTATAGATATATCTTATGTTTCCCCAGAGCGATTAGAAAAACTTACTTTTTTTGGTCCTATTCCATAAGCAGCGATCTCTGTCATGAGCAAAAGCGCACCTGATACTTTGTCTATATATTAGCACTGCCCGTACGTTACCTGGCATATGACATACCCATATTTAAAAAACAGTTTAAGTCTAAGACAGTTTTATTTAAGGCGGCACATGTGCTGAGTATACCATGAATTATAGTGTTTATTTAACTTCCAACATATATATATATATATATATATATATATATATATACATTATGATTGTTATTTTTTATTACTATTATTATTATTCTCTGTTTCTGATATACTGCAGTATGTATAAAGTACGGTGACTTGTAGGCCCATGAGGCCGGGTGATGTACTCGTATCACATGTCACGTTAATAAATAAATACTACTACATAACGTAGCTTACACTTTTATCAAAGTCTGGGTATTTGTTAAGATACACGTGCAAGGAGTTTCATATCTTGTCCGATGTATCCGTCAACAAAAAATACCATGAAATGTATCAGAGATATTTTGGGTTAATTCATGACTTACCCTTAAGTTGGCAAATCGTTACAATTTGAAGGTGTCACCGCGCTTGGGAAGGCGCCTAAGTATGGCAGATTTCCTACCGTTTTTGGTTGTACTTACAGATAACCATTCTAAATCTGGCTGGTTTAGTTACAGTTAATTATTTTAAATCTGGATAGCTTATTTCTGTAGCCTTAAATTGGTTATAACATTGATATATATTGATTTGATTACGATTACTAAATGACCACTAAGATTCTTACTTGAATGAATGGAATTTGCTACGATCATTCAGTAGACATTCCAAAATGTTGCGTCCAATCCGAGCGATTTACTTTCATTTAATTTAGAGGGATGGAATCTAATTTAGAGGGATGGACGGTTTGATGATGAGAATGGCAATGTTCAGAGTTTGAAATATACTGTCTTCACCGTTCCGGCGGTTAATTATTACTGAGGTGACCAAATTCGACAGGGAGAGTGCTACTGTATATTGCCCATCCCCTGCTGCCGGACCGTCCACTTCAAAGAGAGCCGACACATTATGTTTTGCGCACCCCTACTTCATACTCCGCTGGACAGTCACCGCTATTGTCTACATAACGGTATAGGGGAGCGTTCCATCAATGACCTAGATAATGTTATTGGCTTCATAAATGAACGTAGACCCGAAAGTTTGTCATTTTTCGTTCAAAACCATTCGGCTACTTTGCCTGCAGATACATGAATGTAATTTAGAAGTCATTTTCTTTCTTGAAGTTAAAGCAAACTTTTAGTGACTACGGCCCTCGGATAGAAATATTATATCATTTTAATTCAATATGTATGAGTTCCTCACAATAAGATACCCGATCTGAGACCTTTCAATTTGATGTACAGAGAAGACAAGGAATAGACTGCGGTAAATAATGTGTGTCAGCTGAACAAAGGGCTACAATATCCACGAGTACGGTACTTGGTAGATAATGGAAAATAATATTAAACATACTGTGACGAATTCAGATATTCACAAAAACCTGAAATAAAAGATGCTCTAGATGCACTTTTAGCTTGTGGTGGGGTAATATTTGCGGTCTGAAATAGCTAAAACTAGGCAATAATTGTAATGAGCACGTTCTTTTTATATCAGTGTCTGCCAGCACATAACTTGAGATAGCTCTTCTTCAGAACAAGGAAATAACAAAGCTGAAAAAAAAAAAAAAACACCCAAAACACTAAAAAGAGCCGATGACATATAGTCGCCATTCCTTGGTCTGACACTATATATATATATCACTGAAAAGAGACACGTATTTTTGGATATCAAAGTTAGAAACAAACTTTTATCCTATAGTTAAATTGATATATGTTATCTGAAATATAAGAGGCCAAAACTGTGAATAGCGAAACATAATGGAAATTTAGTTAGATCATTACTTGGTTTAGTCAACTGGCGAAGGTTATCTTCTGATTGATCTATGATGACCATATTCTTAAAAACAAGATTTTTAATTACTTAAATACTCAAAGTATCATTTTACAAATTAACAGAGAGAGAGAGAGTTAATGACTTTTTTTGTTCCTAACTGCAGCATCAGTGTAGGTAGTATTTTACAAATCAAAATGTCATCAATTGCAGATTGTTACTCTAAGAAAGAAGCCAAACCCTGCGAGGACAGTAATGGCACGTGGTTTAACCAGACCTGTTACAGCCCGGAGATGCTCATAGAAAACCCAGAAATCAAGAACTTGACTCTGAAGAACACGACCGCCCCCGAAGAATTCTTTAAGTAAGTTGATCCAACTATAAACCTTGTTCGCTTACCCGTTTGCAAATGATGACGACTTGTTTAATAGAAATAGAGTTCGATAGGATTGTACGTCAGTATTGGAGTGATTTATAATTCGCATGCTATAATATTTTTTCTTTTGTACGCGTACGCGGACTAGTACGCTCGAGGCCACCGAGTGGGAGGTATTCAGAGATACTGAGGACGTTAACAACTACACTGATGCCGTTACTGGTTATATCCAATTCTGTGAGGAAATGTGTGTCCCGAGAAAGCAAGTGAAGCTGTTTACTAACAACAAGCTCTGGTGCAACAACAAGATCCGCAAGCTCATTAAGGAAAAAGATGTAGCCTACCGTAACAAAGAACAACACCCCGAAAACTATCTGAAGTTAAAAGCAACCCTGCGATGGGCCATCAAGAACGCCAAGAGAGACTTTAAAAAGAAATTCGAAGAAAAGTTTGAGACCAATAACGTAAGACAGCTATGGTCAAACATGTCATCACTCACTAAATACAAAGGTCCAAAACACGTACTGAGTGACGACGACACAGCACTTCCCGACAAGCTGAATGAATTTTACGCTAGGTTTGACATTGCCAACAACTCGGACTTAAGATCGGCTCCACTAAATGCACATCCACATGACCCACCGCCCTTTTCTGTTCAGAAATGGCAGGTTCAGTGTCATTTTATGGGCCTCGACGCACACAAGTCATCTGGACCAGATGGTATTTCGCCAAGGCTTCTAAAGACATGTGCACCACAACTGGCACACGTATTCACGGATATTTACAATCTATCGCTGCTTTCCCAACGAGTTCCGCGGGCATGGAAGACAGCTACTATCATTCCTGTGCCGAAGTCCAAAACAGTTTCTTGCCTAAACGATCTCCGTCCGGTTGCGTTGACCCCAGTTCCAATGAAAATTCTAGAGAAACTTGTTCTGTCGTATATTAAAACCATCGTACCAGAGACACTTGATCCCTTTCAGTTTGCATATAGACGCAATAGAAGCGTAGATGACGCTCTTAGTATGTGCATACACAACATTTTAGAACACGCAGATAAGAAAAACACATACGCAAGGATCTTATTTATAGACTACAGCTCGGCTTTTAATACCATTATTCCACAAAAACTTTATGCTAAGCTTTTAAACGAACTGAAATTTCCTTCATTTTTATGCAGTTGGGTTTTAGATTTTTTATTAGACAGGAGACAAGCTGTGAAAGTGGGTACAAGTACTTCTGATATTGTGGTTTTAAATACAGGTGCGCCTCAGGGTTGTGTTCTGTCACCATGTCTGTACAGCTTGTTCACGTATGATTGTGTTTCATCTCATGAGAGTAATTGCATCGTGAAGTTTGCAGACGACACCACTTTAATTGGCTTAATAAGTGATAATGATGAGACCTGGTATAGAAATGATGTCAACTCAGTTGTACAATGGTGTAAAGACAACGATTTGTTACTGAATGTAGAGAAGACTAAGGAAATGATTGTTGACTTCAGAAAGAACAGAAATGTGAAAGAACCCATTCATATCAGTGGCACTGCAGTAAAGCAAGTAGCTAATTTTAGACTGCTGGGGGTAGAATTCAATAGCTCACTTACATGGAAGGACCACATAGACAAACAGTTAAAAAAAGCGAGGCAAAGGGTATATTTTTTAAGAAAGTTGAAGGATTTTACTTCAAATGAAATGATTTTAGCAAACTTTTACAAATGCGTTATAGAAAGTATATTAACATTTGCAATCATAGTATGGTATGGGCGGGCCACTGTAGAAGAACGCAAGCGTCTAGATATGGTCACATCAACGTGCGGCAAAATCATCGGTCTGGAACTCCCCTCTCTAGGTGCCATCTATACTAATAGATCAGTAACAAAAACAGAGAAAATCATGTCTGACTATACCCACCCCGCACATGGGCTTTTTAAATTTTTACCGAGCAACTGCAGGCTTTTAACTTTTAAGGGATCTAAAAGGTTTTTAAAGAGTTTTTACCCATCTGCTGTGTCTTATTTTAACAACAAAAATGGAAATTTATAATTTATTAATTTATAATTTGTAACCCGAATAGCAGTCCAATTTCCGTTTTATATGAATTTTATATTTATATATTAATGGCTGAATAAACTCTTATCTTATCTTATTATTTCCTTATTTTGAAATACGTTGCGTTTTCCTGTCAAAATATTCCATATGAATAAACAACTATTTCTTTCATCTTCTGCCAGTATTCGCATGTTGAACCGTTCTGACAGTATTGAAGACATGGGTAGCTTATCTTGGGAGCTGTCCCTCACTCTACTGCTGGCCTGGATACTGGTCTATCTTTGTATTCTGAAGGGAATCAAATCATCAGGAAAGGTAAGAAACAAGTTAACACTATTAACTATTATTGTTAGAATGGGCGATTTTGCCTCATGTTTTGTTCTCGAATCTCTGTGTACATTCTACAGTACAAAAATATCCCAATCAGTTGTAAATGGCTTGCATCAATGTTTAAAACTTACTACATTTAGTTCCATTTATGAATTTTTGCTACAACTGACGGTAATTTGATAGGATGAATGGTTTTCAGTCAAATTTTATGAACATTTCAAAATATTGTCGGCTCTGTTTCCAGGCTGTATACTTCACCGCCACTTTCCCCTACGTCATTCTGATCATCTTCTTCTTCCGCGGAGTGACACTAGAGGGCGCTGGCAAGGGCATTGAATTCTATCTGAAACCAAAGTGGGAATTACTGCTGGTCCCCAAGGTAAGGAAACTATCTTTTTGTCCGAAAGCATTTTGCATCGTCCATTTGAACCAATTTTTGCAAGTCAATGATAGACCTTTGTCGCAGTTTCGAAAGATCTAGGGCATATTTTCTAGTGAAAATAGATGCTACGCGCCATAAAGTTGATTATTACCATTATGTATGTCGTTACTGAATTCTTTCCCGTTATTTTCGTGTTAGGTATGGGGAGACGCTGCAGGCCAGATCTTCTTTTCTCTCAGCGTTGGTATGGGTGGATTGATGACCTTTTCAAGTTACAATAAATTTAACAATAACGTGTTCAGGTAGGTTCTTTTGTTCATTTTATGTCAAATCGCCCCTCATAAAATGCCTGTTGTCACCATCAATGTAGTTCATTTGTGTCTTTTCATTTCAAGTAGGCATTACGCGTTGATGCGGGCATGCCATTGTAAAAAGTTTGTAAACCTGGCTTTTCTACTTGCAATGTTGACAGATTCTATTACTGAGCACTTGAAGCAAACTCTTTGTGATTTTCCGTTTTATTTATTTTGTTCTTCAGAGATGCCTTGATAGTTGCCCTTGGCAACTGTTTCACCAGTTTCTTCGCGGGATTCGCCATTTTCTCCATCCTTGGCTTTATGGCCCACGAGCTGGGGAAGGATGTCTCAGAAGTGGCGACCTCTGGGTCCGGGTTGGCGTTCATTGCCTACCCTGAAGTTGTCACCCGGCTCCCTGTGGCACCACTCTGGTCGTTTTTGTTCTTCTTTATGTTGTTGTTGCTCGGTCTTGACAGCCAGGTAGGCACGCCTTAAGTGTTCTTTAAACCATTCTATTCTGTATTGTTCTAAGTAATTTTCAATTGGTTTCTGAGAAAAGTCCCTCAAATCGCCAAACATAACGTAGGGCCCATTGACGCCATCATAATTGCTCTGTAAAAGTTGGCCACCATGCAAACTATCTGAAACCACGTTAACAATGTTCTGTTTCTTCCAGTTTGCAGGAATCGAAGCCATCCAGACGGCAGTTCTGGATGTCTGGCCCAGACTGAGGAGGGTCAAGCCATTGGTTGCTGGGGTGATCTGTGTAGTGCTCTTCTTACTGGGACTGCCTATGTGTGCACAGGTGAGGACAAAGCCAGGGAAAATATATAGGAGTAGAAAGGAATATCGGATTAAACGTCGTTTATTTTAGTCGAAAACTTTAAAAACGAAATCCAAAAAAATACAATAAATTTCCATTTTAAAGGTACAGTTTAGGTTTTGAATTGCGTACGTTTCAGGGCGGTATATACTGGGAAGAGCTGGTCAGCTATTACTCGGCAGGATGGTCCTTGGTACTGATAGGATTCGTGGAGACTCTGGTGTTTGCGTGGGTGTACGGTAAGTGCTAGTATTCGAGTTTGTGGAACATAAGAGTTCATTTAATTTAAAGAAATTCATCTTTTTTCAGCAAAATGCATCAGGGTTTCTTATCTTTAAATGGCTGAAAATAAAAGTAATTTCAACAAGACGCTTTATCTTTACGTATTAAAAACGGACTGCACACACCTATAACGTTAAATGTTAAAGATCAAATGGTTAGCAACTCNGATTCAGTAGACATTCCAAAATGTTGCGTCCAATCCGAGCGATTTACTTTCATTTAATTTAGAGGGATGGAATCTAATTTAGAGGGATGGACGGTTTGATGATGAGAATGGCAATGTTCAGAGTTTGAAATATACTGTCTTCACCGTTCCGGCGGTTAATTATTACTGAGGTGACCAAATTCAACAGGGAGAGTGCTATATTGCCCATCCCCTGCTGCCGGACCGTCCACTTCAAAGAGAGCCGACACATTATGTTTTGCGCACCCCTAGTTCATACTCCGCTGGACAGTCACCGCTATTGTCTACATAACGGTATAGGGGAGCGTTCCATCAATGACCTAGATAATGTTATTGGCTTCATAAATGAACGTAGACCCGAAAGTTTGTCATTTTTTAGTTCAAAACCATTCGGCTACTTTGCCTGCAGATACATGAATGTAATTTAGAAGTCATTTTCTTTCTTGAAGTTAAAGCAAACTTTTAGTGACTACGGCCCTCGGATAGAAATATTATATCATTTTAATTCAATATGTATGAGTTCCTCACAATAAGATACCCGATCTGAGACCTTTCAATTTGATGTACAGAGAAGACGAGGAATAGACTGCGGTAAATATTGTGTGTCAGCTGAACAAAGGGCTACAGTATCCACGAGTACGGTACTTGGTAGATAATGGAAAATAATATTAAACATACTGTGACGAATTCAGATATTCACAAAAACCTGAAATAAAAGATGCTCTAGATGCACTTTTAGCTTGTGGTGGGGTAATATTTGCGGTCTGAAATAGCTAAAACTAGGCAATAATTGTAATGAGCACGTTCTTTTTATATCAGTGTCTGCCAGCACATAACTTGAGATAGCTCTTCTTCAGAACAAGGAAATAACAAAGCTGAAAAAAAAACACCCAAAACACTAAAAAGAGCCGATGACATATAGTCGCCATTCCTTGGTCTGACACTATATATATATCACTGAAAAGAGACACGTATTTTTGGATATCAAAGTTAGAAACAAACTTTTATCCTATAGTTAAATTGATATATGTTATCTGAAATATAAGAGGCCAAAACTGTGAATAGCGAAACATAATGGAAATTTAGCTAGATCATTACTTGGTTTATTCAACTGGCGAAGGTTATCTTCTGATTGATCTATGATGACCATATTCTTAAAAACAAGATTTTTAATTACTTAAATACTCAAAGTATCATTTTACAAATTAACAGAGAGAGAGAGAGAGAGTTAATGACTTTTTTTGTTCCTAACTGCAGCATCAGTGTAGGTAGTATTTTACAAATCAAAATGTCATCAATTGCAGATTGTTACTCTAAGAAAGAAGCCAAACCGTGCGAGGACAGTAATGGCACGTGGTTTAACCAGACCTGTTACAGCCCGGAGATGCTCATAGAAAACCCAGAAATCAAGAACTTGACTCTGAAGAACACGACCGCCCCCGAAGAATTCTTTAAGTAAGTTGATCCAACTATAAACCTTGTTCGCTTACCCGTTTGCAAATGATGACGACTTGTTTAATAGAAATAGAGTTCGATAGGATTGTATGTCAGTATTGGAGTGATTTATAATTCGCATGCTATAATATTTTTTCTTTTGTACGCGTACGCGGACTAGTACGCGCCTAATATTATTTCCTTATTTTGAAATACGTTGCGTTTTCCTGTCAAAATATTCCATATGAATAAACAACTATTTCTTTCATCTTCTGCCAGTATTCGCATGTTGAACCGTTCTGACAGTATTGAAGATATGGGTAGCTTATCTTGGGAGCTGTCCCTCACTCTACTGCTGGCCTGGATACTGGTCTATCTTTGTATTCTGAAGGGAATCAAATCATCAGGAAAGGTAAGAAACAAGTTAACACTATTAACTATTATTGTTAGAATGGGCGATTTTGCCTCATGTTTTGTTCTCGAATCTCTGTGTACATTCTACAGTACAAAAATATCCCAATCAGTTGTAAATGGCTTGCATCAATGTTTAAAACTTACTACATTTAGTTCCATTTATGAATTTTTGCTACAACTGACGGTAATTTGATAGGATGAATGGTTTTCAGTCAAATGTTATGAACATTTCAAAATATTGTCGGCTCTGTTTCCAGGCTGTATACTTCACTGCCACTTTCCCCTACGTCATTCTGATCATCTTCTTCTTCCGCGGAGTGACACTAGAGGGCGCTGGGAAGGGCATTGAATTCTATCTGAAACCAAAGTGGGAATTATTGCTGGTTCCCAAGGTAAGGAAACTATCTTTTTGTCCTAAAGCATTTTGCATCGTCCATTTGAACCAATTTTTGCAAGTCAATGATAGGCCTTTGTCGCAGTTTCGAAAGATCTAGGGCATATTTTCTAGTGAAAATAGATGCTACGCGCCATAAAGTTGATTATTACCATTATGTATGTCGTTACTGAATTCTTTTCCGTTATTTTCGTGTTAGGTATGGGGAGACGCTGCAGGCCAGATCTTCTTTTCTCTCAGCGTTGGTATGGGCGGATTGATGACCTTTTCAAGTTACAATAAATTTAACAATAACGTGTTCAGGTAGGTTCTTTTGTTCATTTTATGTCAAACCGCCCCTCATAAAATGCCTGTTGTCACCATCAATGTAGTTCATTTGTGTCTTTTCATTTCAAGTAGGCATTACGCGTTGATGCGGGCATGCCATTGTAAAAAGTTTGTAAACCTGGCTTTTCTACTTGCAATGTTGACAGATTCTATTACTGAGCACTTGAAGCAAACTCTTTGTGATTTTCCGTTTTATTTATTTTGTTCTTCAGAGATGCCTTGATAGTTGCCCTTGGCAACTGTTTCACCAGTTTCTTCGCGGGATTCGCCATTTTCTCCATCCTTGGCTTTATGGCCCACGAGCTGGGGAAGGATGTCTCAGAAGTGGCTACCTCTGGGTCCGGGTTGGCGTTCATTGCCTACCCTGAAGTTGTCACCCGGCTCCCTGTGGCACCACTCTGGTCGTTTTTGTTCTTCTTTATGTTGTTGTTGCTCGGTCTTGACAGCCAGGTAGGCACGCCTTAAGTGTTCTTTAAACCAATCTATTCTGTATTGTTCTAAGTAATTTTCAATTGGTTTCTGAGAAAAGTCCCTCAAATCGCCAAACATAACGTAGGGCCCATTGACGCCATCATAATTGCTCTGTAAAAGTTGGCCACCATGCAAACTATCTGAAACCACGTTAACAATGTTCTGTTTCTTCCAGTTTGCAGGAATCGAAGCCATCCAGACGGCAGTTCTGGATGTATGGCCCAGACTGAGGAGGGTCAAGCCATTGGTTGCTGGGGTGATCTGTGTAGTGCTCTTCTTACTGGGACTGCCTATGTGTGCACAGGTGAGGACAAAGCCAGGGAAAAGATATAGGAGTAGAAAGGGATATCGGATTAAACGTCGTTTATTTTAGCCGAAAACTTTAAAAACGAAATCCAATAAATATAATAAATTTCCATTTTAAAGGTAGAGTTTAAGTTTTGAATTGCGTACGTTTCAGGGCGGTATATACTGGGAAGAGCTGGTCAGCTATTACTCGGCAGGATGGTCCTTGGTACTGATAGGATTCGTGGAGACTCTGGTGTTTGCGTGGGTGTACGGTAAGTGCTAGTATTCGAGTTTGTGGAACATAAGAGTTCATTTAATTTAAAGAAATTCATCTTTTTTCAGCAAAATGCATCAGGGTTTCTTATCTTTAAATGGCTGAAAATTAAAGTAATTTCAACAAGACGCTTTATCTTTACGTATTAAAAACGGACTGCCCACACCTATAACGTTAAATGTTAAAGATTAAATGGTTAGCAACACTTCATTTTGGCGGGAAAAGTGCCATTAAACTGATTATCATGGGGTAAACGTCGATTTTTCCATACTTTCTAATGGTTAATGAATCCGTTTCGACATTCAAAGTTAGTAGATTGTTTTTTTAAGTGTCCTTTTTGTAATAATCTCATAAAAGATTATTAGGCGGGGTAGCCATTTATGATTCATGAAGGACAGCACGGATGGCCAGCACAGATTTCACAATAATTGCTACAACCGCCGGTTTGGCGGAAAATGGAATTTATTATATTCCTTTGTGTTGCTTACAATGTATTAATTGTGGAATTTTGAGTTTCATATGAATATTTTTATCTCTTTTTCTTAAAGTCAATGTTCCCTATTTCCAGGAGCCAAACGAATGATGAACGACATGGAACAAATGATTGGGTTCCGGCCATCTTGTAATGGCTGGTATTGGTGGGTGCTGTGGACGATCGTGGCTCCAATTCTACTCTTTGTAAGTAATACTGGTACCACTAAGACGCTGTTCTTACATCTTAAACCACCTGCGGTACATTTCACACAAAGTTACGCGTCATATGACATCATATCCTGGTCATGTAATTTTTCAAATGGTGTTTTTTTCACATATATGACATTTTATATGATTTCAGGCTATTCTGATCTTCAACTTCATCGAGTTCACGCCACTAGAATACGGTGGTTATGTCCTCCCTCCCTGGGCCCAAGGTTTAGGTTGGATTATGGCCGTTATCTCCGTGGCCATCGTACCAGTGGTTGCCGCATACAGGATATGGAAGGACTACAAAACCAATGAGGACGGCGCTTCTTTCATGGAGGTAAAATGGCGCAGTTTTATGATGATTGTAGGCGTAAAATGTGGAAAATCTAGTAATGTCACTTTTGTATGACGGCGCAAAAATGATTAATGTCCTCCATTTTAATTGTAAAAGGAAGTATCGTTTGAGTTGACTCAGCCCTAAGCTAATGCTTATTTAATTCCGGTATTTTTTTTAAAAAATTACATTAGATAGCCAAGATACCTGTATGATGTCTAATTATATCATATGATGCTCTCTCTCTTTAACCGCATTAAAATTACTCACATCCTCCAAATAATTTCTGTTCATTGCGGTCAAGCTATATATGCGTATGTCCGTTTTCATCCAGGTAGCTAATGACTAAGGATAAGTTAGTCATAAAATTAGGAAGTAGTTTTCGTAAAGTTACGGATTAATAACCCAACAATTATTCATTTCCAGAGGGTTGTCCGTCTAACTAAGCCGGACCCCATTGTATGGCGGCCGTCCATAGTGAAAGCCCAGGAAGAGATGTCGTCCAAGCAGGGCAACATGAACGCTGGATTCCACTCGTCACAGGATACCATTGGCGGTGTCAGCCACATCAGCAACACCGCTATTTAGACATATATTATCCCACTTTGTACGAGGTGGCAGTGCGAGCTCATTCAGACAACTAGACTTATGTCAACAGCGTCTTCCTGGTCCGGTGTCTTCTCTACGATGATCAGAGTTTTATATGGACAGAGTTATGTTTTAAATAGTTTATATGATTTCTTGTATTCTTATTATTTATCCATCATATCTTTGTATTTTTAAAAAATCTAATAAGATGTAGCTTTTACATGACGTAAATTAACAAACATGCCATGATCTTAATTGTGTACACCATTCTTCCACTTGACTTGCTCTTGGTGGAAAGAACGTGCGGTTGTGTAAACTTACTCGTCAACAAGCTAATTTTGGCACATGCTATGGTATGCTTTAACATGAAGGCGGTTCACCCCTCTCCAGCGTGCGTGTAATGCCTTCACAGCCGAGGAGCGGCCAAGTCCGGCTAAATTTAAGTGGAACTCTATAGACCGTTCTTCTGTCGAAGTCGTCTTATGTTTGTGAAAATCTTAAGAATGAGGGCACTTTTTCCCAGACAGGAGCAACTGTCCTGCTCAAACCAAACCCTTGTCATTACTACCCTCTACCAGGGCGCCAGATTGATCTTCACGAGATATTCTCAGACATGTCTTCAGATGAACAGACACTCATTTGATTCACTGGCTTTTCGAAAATTTGCCTATAATTTCTGCCACCCTGGTAGAGGGATACTATTACAGTGTACAATGGGTACGCCTACCAAGTGCTGCTATACAATCTTGTGATAGGTACAGTTATTATCGTAATGTTTAGATCAAGTTATTCCAGCCCACACCAATAGGAATTCATTCAGCTCTAAAAGACGATCAGCTTCAACAGAGGTCCTGAATGTCTAGTTACTTCAGGGACCATGTGAGAACTTTGTAAAAAATATCTCTTTTATATTAATATGTATATAATATATATTTTTTAAGACTAAGTTTTTACTTTAATAAGATAATTATGAGATTATTGAATTTGTATCCATTAGTATGCGTATATATCATTATCCGATAATGTCCTCAAATGTTTTAGTTCAAACCGGTTGTAATTTGTTTTTGAAATTGTCAATTTTTATAACATCTGGTTAAGACCATTTTTAGGGGGGTGGGGGGATTTAAGTTTTTGTGTCACAGAGCGGGGAGTCTGGTCATGCATAATGTTTGAGCCATAACATAATCAGCAAAAATGCTTTTGTATATCTTGATAATGGTCAATATGGAATATTTGGGGTGTGTCTTTCTTTTGTTCACCAAACAAATTTCTATAAGGAAGGAATGTGTCGCCGGAAATAGGCCTAGATGTCTAAGCTGTTGGGTTCTATCACTCACATAGGGCCTAATATCCTCTCTCCCGTGCTGGGAGGACTGGCATTTCTAAGTCAAATGTTGCCTAGTGTGGCAGGGACGGATGCCAGAAGTCATCTACGCCGTTTGTTCTGGGCCCAACAACTGTAAAGCGATCATGCCTTTGCTCTAAACAGTGTGTCAGTCTTTTTTATTATTGAAACTGATTTCAAAGTTTCGAGAATGTCTTTCAAATTATATCCAAGAACTAATATTTTATGTCTGCGATATCCAAATGTGCTGTCGAAATGAATGTACCAGTGTATTCTGTACAAGTCTGTTAAATGACGAGTCAGTGTTTCATACATGTTAATAAGTGAAGATTATGTTAATGCATACGTCTACACACATACTCAGGGGCGAATGGAGGCCATCTTCTGAGTCTTCCGGAAGACGGTCAGAAGCTTCCAAGTTAAAATTGACGGGCATTTCATTTTTACTGTCGGAAGACTGTCAAAAACGGAGGATGGATCAACAAAGATGATTTGAAAGACTGTCAGAAAATATATCTGGATCCGCCCCTGCATATATTTACTGTGGTCGTTTCTTCCAAGTTGTCTTAATTCTGTTCTATGATCTTTAGTCATATAACCGTTGACATGATTAATTCGTAATTGTGTTAATTAGTTAATTATTTACTGTGGTCTTTTATCTTAGCATAATTAATTCGTAGCCTACAGTTAATTACGTAAATTAGTTAACTTCGCTCTTTGGTCCTCTATCATAGGAACAGACTGTTGACAAATTATTCGCTAAATCGCATTTTTAATGTGCAACATTCCATGTTCATAGAATTTTTTTTTGGATTTACCTATTTTTAATGTTGAGATGCGAATGATGTAAATAAATACAGAGAATGATATATAGTTTACGCACTTGATTTATATAAAATTAAGTGTATTCAAATTAAATTAAACATATCAAAATCATCATATGAGTTAATGAAATTTAGAAATTCTAAAATTAAATTAAAAATTAAAACTTCTTATCACAATCTAGAAAATGAATATAAACCTAGACATCGCAAACATAGATATCTGGGAATTGAAAATAAAGCATAAATTGTGTCCTTAATACAATATCATCTCCGATAGCATCTTTATGATCTATTTATATAAAGTTGATGATCCGTATTGCATGTTTTACTGCTTAAAAATAGTTGGTGACAGGTACGTGCTTTTGTAATACAAGAATCTCAATCACAACTAGCATAAGATGTTCAAATATGTGTTAAACTTTCATCGTTGTTTTAAAATAAGTACCGGCACTGTGTTACTAATAAAGGAATTAGGGGAGACCGGGGCTAGTTGGCCCATTTAGACACTTTTGGCCTTGTAGAGCCAACTAGGAATGGGTTAGAGTCACAAAACCGGTTTCAAAGTAAGCCCCGTGAACTAAGCTACGTATGCAACGCCATTATTTTTCAAATATAATGCCAGACGGCTCACAATTTGACAAAAAACGCAGTTGACGTCAAGGGGGCCAACTTGCCCCACCACGGGGCAAGTTGGCCCCAGGGTCGGGGCAAGTTGGCCCCCCTATACGAAAATGAAATATATATCCCATGTAAACTCCTTGAAATACATTTTTATCCATTTTTAATTTATTGAATTGATTAAAAATTGAGAGTCTTTGATGAATAAATAGTTCAAATGAGGCAGATTTATTGTGGTTTCCGTACGTCACGTTGTGTGTGTGTGTGNCAAGCTTTGTCAATTTCACCAACCTGTTTATTTCAGTTTATTTCAAGAAGTTACAACTTCTTGTTTATTTCAAACAGCGTTGCGTGCAAAGGGGGCAACTTACCCCGGGGTCCAACTAGCCCCGGTCTCCCCTAATGAAATAAATTTGACAAATAGCCTAGATAAATGAAGTAGAGATAAAATAAATACAGAATTAAAAAATCAGAATATATGAATAAACGACAAATAGGTAAAGCAGGTGTTTTAGCTCAGGGTTTATATCCTCTGAAAAAAAATTCCTACTTAAAACACCACAATAGATAGGCCTAGATAAAGTTTTTTAATGAAAATAAATACGCACGGATCAATAATAATAAATACATCCACGTTAATAGGACCCTTAATTGTGCCTTTCTCCGATCCCTCACGTCTTGGTTGGATTAAAACTGGGATCGTTACAATATTTTGCTTGAAATAATAGAACAAATGGGAAGTTTCTCTGGTCTACCGTATTTTGCCGCGTCAGGCACTAGGCAGCGCATTACCTTTAATTATTATTATTGCGCACCTAATGCAGGTTGTACGTCGCTAAAGGGTAACCTTGTTTCGTAAATTTTGAGATTTGTATATAAGAGAAAATTGAGTTTTTTTCTCTAGTTTGGATCGAATGAGATTTTTAGAATAATCATGGAAAATAATTTATTTATTGATATAGGCCTATATTGCAGATATCCTGATTTTTAAAATTTGTTTATGTATTGATTGGGAAATGAAGAATGGTGTTTGTTTAAGCATAGAGGGCATTTTAAAGAATTAAACCTTACAATGGAAGTGGTTTAATAGTGGTTTGTAGCCTTCATTCAGTAGCTCTGGTGTCTCTCAACTTCCTGTTTGCCTGGCGCATGCTCAGTTACTGACCTTCCTGTATCAACTGTTGCAGGTAGCTTGTGTACCGTTCCCTTTGTATCAATCGTTTGAAACGTTGTCATTCAACCATGAGTGGGAATCTGTTTCGAGCCATCATTATGGGCGCAGCTGGGTCAGGCAAAGGGACAATTGCGAACAGAATTGTGAAGGATTTCGGCTTGAAGCATCTGTCTAGCGGTGACCTTCTAAGAGCACAAATGATTGCTAAAACAGGTACGTTTTAGCTGACGCTCTTTACTCACAAGCAATAAAGAGACAAATACCGATTGCAACAAATGCAGTTGTATTCGATGTTTGTAGATCATATTAATCGACCAGTTGGTATATATTTCAGCCGCATATTATAGTATATAGCTGAAATAATGTAGGCATTTCTTCAAATCCCATCTCCAGTCTTACCCTCCTCTCATATACTAGTAGTGGTAATTAACACAGCCAATGTTCACATGGCCAGTCTCATTAATTTTTTATCGTCACCATTGATACTAGCATAATATACCAGACATGACATTTTTCTGCGGAAACATGGAATTCAGCGTTTTTTAAATTCAATTCTGAGGGTCACTGAGATTCGTCAAGATCTGCCGGTCGGTTGGGTGTTGGGTCCCATGTTAAATGTTCAGAGATTTTTTTGAAACCAAGACTCATGCCTGATATACATAACCTCAGCCATCTCATGTCTGTGTTAAGAAAATGAATAAGTTCCTATGCTGTTAATGGGTTCTTTGTGTATAGCAACTTCTTAATTAATGATTTGTTAGTACGTTTTATGGTAAAGCTTCTGGAGGCTAAAAAGTTCATTGACCAGGGGGACTTAGTGCTTATGATAACATCTTTATATTCATCATATTATATATGTGTATGTTATATTTTATCAGCTGCTGGTATGGAGGCTATAAAGTTCATTGACCAGGGAGCCTTAGTGCCTATGATATCATCTCTATATTCATCATATTATATATGTGTATGTTATATTTTATCAGCTGCTGGTATGGAGGCTAAAAAGTTCATTGACCAGGGAGCCTTAGTGCCTATGATATCATCTCTATATTCATCATATTATATATGTGTATGTTATATTTTATCAGCTGCTGGTATGGAGGCTAAAAAGTTCATTGACCAGGGAGCCTTAGTGCCTATGATATCATCTCTATATTCATCATATTATATATGTGTATGTTATATTTTATCAGCTGCTGGTATGGAGGCTAAAAAGTTCATTGACCAGGGGGCCTTAGTGCCTATGATATCATCTCTATATTCATCATCATCATCAGGCTGTCCTTCGTTACCGAAGATGACTGTCCGAGTTGAGCTAGAGGCCCTTCATAGGCAGGCCCTCATGTGGGCTTTGAGACCAGCTTGGGATTTGCAGAAGCGCTGACATCTGTTGCATTGGAAGTTGCATGGTCTGGCTGGTGAGTGTCGACGGTCATGTGCACGTTGGTATTCTTGCGGGTGCTGGTCTTCAACAGCTGAAAGGGTCTTTTTAAGTAGGGCATGCCATTGCTCTCTCTGGAGATCCTCTGCCTCCCAGGTGTCTTGTGGGATGCCAGCCCTCTTCATGTGGCGCTTTATAACATCCTTGAAGCGTAGAGTTTGTCCACCATGGCTCCTTTTTCCTTGGTATAGTTCAGAGTATAGTACAGCTTTTGGCAGTCTGTCATTTGTCATCCGACAGACATGTCCAGCCCAACGGAGCTGTGACACAGTTATTAGGGCTTCAGCACTAGCTGTATGAGCACGTGGTAGTACTTCAACATCAGGAATGTGGTCTTGCCACTTGATACTGAGGATTGCACGTAGATGATGGAGCTGGAGTCTTGTCAGAGCCTTTATATGTCTGCGGTAAAGCGTGATGCACTCGGTGGAGTAGAGGAGGCAAGGGATGACTGCTGCTAAATAAACTTTCACTTTGGTGTTCATGGTGATGTCATGACAGCTCCAGAGTCTTCTTTGTAGAGCACCGAAGGCCTTTGTAGCAGACTGGATCCTCCTTTCCACTTCCAGATCTGCTGAATTTGTGTTTGTGATGGTGCTGCCTTGGTAAGTAAATGACTCAGTTGTTATCAGCGGTTCCCCATCGATTGTAACCGGCTCTGGAAGGTGAGTGAGCATTGGAGGAGACTGATACAGTAATTCAGTCTTGGAAATGTTAATCTTTAGTCCAAACATTTGGGCTGCGGAAGAGAAACAGTTCACTATCTGCTGCATGTCACCTGCATTATTGGCCACAAGGGCGGAGTCATCAGCATACAGCAGTTCTCTGATGCACATTTTCTGTGTTTTTGTATGGGCACGGAGCCTGGCAAGGTTGAAGCGTTTGCCGTCAGTTCTCGTACATATAAATACACTGTTGCTGAGGCCCTCACTCATGGTGTCTAGTACTGCTGTTAGGTAGAGAGAAAAAAGTGTAGGTGCCAGAACACATCCTTGCTTCACTCCATGATTGACAGCAAAAGCCTCTTTGTGTTCACCGCCGATAGAAACTTGTGCCTTCATTCCATCATGGAATTGTTTTATGATGTTAACAAGCTTGTCGGGGCATCCATAGGTTTCAAGGACTTACCACAAGGTCTCACGATTGACGGTGTCAAATGCCTTTGAGAAGTCAACAAAAACTATGTACAGTGGTTGGTGTTGTTCAGCTGCTTTCTCTTGGAGTTGCCGTAGAGTGAAGATTATATCTGAGGTGGAGCGGCCAGCCCGGAATCCACACTGAGACTCTGGAAGACTTTCTTCTGCGATGACATTCAGTCTGTTCAGAACCATTTTGGCAAGGACTTTGCCAGCTATGGACAACAGAGATATTCCTCTATGGTTACCGCATTCTGCATGGTCACCCTTCCTCTTATAGATGGTGACGATTAAGGCATCTCGAAAATCTTGGGGCACAGTGCCAGAGAGTAAGCATTTGTTAAATAACTCTAACAGATCCTCATGTAGCTTTACTCCACCATTTTTCAGAATTTCAGAAGGAATACCATCGAGGCCAGGCGCTTTACCACATGCCAAGCATTTCAGAGCGTTCTGCAATTCCTCCATGCTGAATTCCCCACACAACTCATTCCTTTTTTGTCTCATTTTCAAATGCTGACACGCATCTGCCTGTACAGATCCCACTTGGTTTAGTAAGTTGTTGAAGTGCTCCTTCCATCTGTTCTTGATATCTTCAAGGTCTGTAAGTAGCCTCTCATCCACTGACTTCACTGGAGCAACAGCCCTGCTTTTTGGCCCATAGATAGCCTTTAACCCGGCGAAGAGTCCATGATAGTTGTGGCTATCAGCCATGTGCTGCAATTCCTCAGCCTTTCGCTTACACCAGTCGTTCTTAGGAGCTCTCACTTCCCTTTGCACTTTAGCCTTGATTTTTGCAAGTGCGCACTTGCTCTTCTCAGAGTTCTCCTGTAGATGTTTGAGATGTTGAGTTTTCTTTTCTTCTCAATCACAGCATCATGCTCAGAGAACCAATCAGGGGTCTTTTTATAAGAATGACCTAGAGTTTCCTTGCTTGCTGAGTACACTGCTTCCTTCAGAGCTTTCCACTGCTCCTCTGTCTTTCTATGGCTCTGGTCAGTTCTTGGTGGTATTTCACATCTGACAACTTATTTATGTCCAGTTTCCTAGGTTTAGCACTTGTGGTAGTTTTTCTGCGGGGCAGATTGATTCTCATTCTAAGTTGGCAACTAACAAGATAGTGGTCTGTAGCACATTCTGGTCCGCGTTTTGCTTTTGTACATAGTACATCAACCATATCTGACTTTCTCGTGATGACATAATCAAGCAGATGATAGTGACCTGAGCGTGGGTGTTTCCAGGTGAAATAGTTTTTGTCAGGTTGGAAGAAAAAAGTGTTGGTGATGCTGAGATCTAGTTGTCCACAGAAATTTAGCAGAAGCTCCCCATTAGAGTTCTTTTTCGCCTTCCCAAATTTGCCAATGACACCCAAGTAGGTTTTCCAGTCAGTCCCAACTCTAGCGTTGAAGTCTCCTAGTATAAGGAGCTTGTCTTCTCTGGGGACCTTAAGCACTACATCGGTGAGTTCTTGGTAAAAGGCCTCCTTCTCATCAACTGTGTAAGTCATCGTGGGTGCATACACATTTACTAGAGACAAGTAACGTCCTCTCTCAATAGGTATTCTCATAGACATAAGTCTGGGTGAGATCCCGGTAGGAAGTGTTGTTAACTTCTTGGCAATCGTGTTGTGAACCGGAAAAGCAACTCCGGCTTCTCTGGGTCCTGTGGTTTTCCCAACCCAAAAGAAGGTGTATTCCACTTCTTGGAGTTGACCCTGTGCCTCAAGACGCGTTTCTTGAAGGGCTGCAATCTCAATGCCAGACAGCTGCAGTTCCCTTGCAATCAGGGCAGATATTCATCATATTATATATGTGTATGTTATATTTTATCAGCTGCTGGTATGGAGGCTAAAAAGTTCATTGACCAGGGAGCCTTAGTGCCAGATGGTCTGATGGTAGAACTGATCTCAAGCGAGTTAAAAAAGATGAGTGATGTTTCTTGGCTTCTGGACGGTTTCCCCAGAACTCTCTACCAGGCTGAAGCTCTGCAGGAGAGAGAACCTGTGAATGCAGTGGTCAATCTTAATGTCCCTTTTGAGATCATCATAGGCCGAGTAAAGGATAGATGGGTTCATCTGCCCAGTGGAAGAATATACAACACTGAATTCAGTCCTCCCAAGGTCCCTGTGAGTATAAACCTTCTGAACTATTTGTAAGCTAGGGAAGAAAATCCAGGCCTGTAGCCTGGGGGGGAGGGGGTGTTGGTGCAGAAAGGTCCCCTCTGGGTAAAGTGTTATCTAGCTACATGGAGGTTTCATGGTAAAAGATCCATTTTTTTTTTCACAAAAAGAAACCCCCATTTTCAAATTGCTGGCTACGGGCCTGAAATCCATACACATTGGCACTGCATGCTCTGTAGACATATTGTTTTTTATTGATTTGAACTGATTTTTTTCCAATGTTTTAGGGTAAAGATGATGTCACAGGTGAGGATTTAGTTCAGAGAGATGATGACAAGCCAGAGACTGTGAGGGCCAGACTTGAGTCCTACGAGAAAATAACCCGTCCAGTGCTGGAGTTTTACAAGTAAGGTCCCATTCCCAGAGATTAGATCAATCCAACTAGATCGACCTAACTCCCTGGGGGTTCACGCTAAATAGCTGTCAGCCAAGCGGGCACGAAAGTTAATTACCCCCTTACAGCTTGTAGTAGGCGGGACGGACATTTAAGCCAGATTATCTGACAGTAATCTAGTGAGACTTCCCACGGGGATAGATCGATCTAAAATCTATGGGAATGTGCCCTAAGACAAGATAGGTGCTGTGACTAGTTTCAGTTTATATTGGTGTAGTACAGAGTTCAGACTAGTATAGAGAGCCTATCATTGGCCCCATTCAGAATAGGGGACTAATTAGTCTGAGGGTCAAAGCTTGCCATCTAATCTGCTAATAGACACTGAATAGATATTTTGTGGGAAAGTATTCACGAGGGTTGGCCATATTTGACCCTGGGACTAGTTAGTGCCCTATTCTGAATGGGTCTGTTCTCTCAGCCTTCCATGTAGTCCTCTCTTCAGCTTGTATGCATTTGTTCCAAGACAGTTCTCAGTCTTGTTCTATTTTATTACAGGAAAAAGGGAATTCTGATGGAGTTCACAGGTAAATACTCCAATGAGATTTGGCCCCATGTCCACAAGCACCTGGCTAACCTGACCCCAGCTCTCCAGTACACCGATTATGGCAAGGGGGGAGTCTAAGGGAACAGCAGCTCTGGAGTACAGTTTGTGGCAAGGGGGGGGGGGTCTAAAAGAACAGCAGCTCTGCAGTACACAGTCTGTAGCAAGGGAGAGTCTAAAGGGAACAGATTGGAGTTTGGAAAAGAAAGATATTACAATTGTTCATTTAAAACTGCAAGAAAAACTTTGATTGGAAATTGTTTTAAGGAAACAATCATGAGGCCTCACGTACATATAGCCGAAAATCCATATTATACATGAAAAAATGATTGATATGTTTATGTCCATTAATTATACCCAGTAAAATTGAATTGTTAACACTGTTAGTGCTCTGAATTGGCAGTCTTATTATTTATTTCTTGTATTTTCAGTATTTTTAAAGAATTCTTTATGGCGCAGTTTTTAATATAGGCACCTTTTGCTGTAATATAGTAGTTTACAGAAACATTTTCTACCTGGTATTGCAATGATATAAACACTAAATGAGCTGTCTTGCTGCAGGTTTGGCAGGATTTGAAAAAATGGTTGGAATAAAAAATGTACAATAACTTTCAAACCATATTTTTGTTTAACTTAAAATTCACTGAGTGGCTTAAATTGGTAAAGAGGCATGGTGCTTTTGAAAATTGGCATGATTGGTTTAGATTAATGGTAATTATTGTTTTCTTTTTTTTTTGCACTATTTTGGTGCCATTCACCCTATAACTTTCAAAACTGTATTTTTGTTTCACTTTAAATTCATTGAATGACTTTGTTTGGCGAAGAAACGGGTTACTTTTGAAAATCAGCATGATTGATTTACATTTACTGTAATTATTGTGGTTTTTGTGAATATTTTTTATTTTTCACACATAATCATTTTCAGTGGCTTTAATATCCCATGGAACTGAAACACTTGCTAGTTTTTCAATGTCCATGTTACCTGTAGTACATAATGTAAGAGGGTAAGGGTGATTACGTATGCTGCTTTAAAGCAATACGTAACTGTGCATCAAAATTGTCCAAACATCATTTGGTGCACTTTTTTGTAATGTATGAACATTTGTCAGCTTTTCTGCCTTGTTTCCTGTATATTTGCCAGATTTGCTGTTTATCTTTCTTTTTCTTATATTTAACAGCAGTCTGAAATTCAGAGACCCTTGTATTTGATGAATATAATCTGTTCCAAGTTGAGTTAAAATCTTTTTTATCATGTCTTCAACTTACCTCCCTCCCCCAAAATAAATAAAACATACTAAACTTCCCATTTAATTAATAAATGATACCAAGTTATAAGTAAATAACAACAGCTATGTTTTCATGAGTTTTTTATTGCAGTTCACCACATACAGTTTTCATCTCTCTTTGAGGTAATAAGTAGCACACAGGTTCATCCTTTCGTTGGTTTAACATAATAGTGACATAAAATTCAACGTATGACTGGGCAATATTTTTTCGGCTTGTCTATACCTTTAATGGCTTACACTAAGGTATTCTCTGTACTAACTTAATGCGTTACATCTGTGTTAAAAGGTAGAATTTCCCCGTGGAGTGCACATACTTGGCTATTATGCTGCATTGGCCTGTGTAAGGCAGTTCTCATCTCATAATATATTTTAACACATTTATTTAAACGTTGGTTTCTCTTCAATGGTTCTGTGCTATATTTTAACACCTACAAAGAAACAAATAATTGCAAATCAAAGCACCTTTTTGAATTCAATATCCTAAAAAGTCCTTCAATGCACATATTAAAATTGATAGTGATGTTTCAGGATTTGAAAAAATGTAAAGCTAGACAAAATGTACTAAATTCTTTTCAAGGGTGACTATAAACAGAAAATTCACAAAGAAAACTGCATGGCCATCCATTAATGTAAACCGTGTCAGAAGAAAAACAAACCACATTTAAAGTCCATACTTTAGACTTTTAGAGATAGACAGTTTTGTTCTGTATAAGTGAAGGAAATTCCTCCATGTATTAATATCACAGTTACATTTTTGCTAGACTGAAATAAAACAGCAAACAGAAAGACAGGCTGTAAGTATCTGCCTTCTTACACATGTTACATAGAACATACTGTCAGAGATACAGTACATGTCAGAGATACATTGCATGAGTTAATTACTTCCATTATCACTTCAAACATCAATGGACATAACACAATGTATAGTAAGAATAAACCATATTAAATACAAGTGTAAAAATAATCTCTAAATACAATCAACCCTATGTAAATCCTATATATTTGTAAACAAGGTGGATGTTTTGTAAGTGATACAGACGTACATACTGACACTTGACACAAATAATGAGGCTTTCAATCAAAAAGTAATAAATGTGGATATTTGTAGATTAACTAATGAGTGATGTACTTGGCTTTCAGCTCATACATTTTAAATAAATTTATCTGAAGCTTTCAAGCCACTGTATACATATAAATCATTAAGTATATGTGAATTATTGAATAAATAACAATTAAGTTGATTTTCAAAGCACAAAAGAGTAAATCTCCCAGTGGTAAGCTCCATAGTCAACACACTTTCTTTTTTACAAAAACCTTGCCTGGAGTCATTGTAGTCATACTACTAGTAGTTATACATCTCCAACTGGAGTTATTGTAGTCATGCTACCAGTAGTTATACATCTTCAACTGGAGTCATTGTAGTCATGCTACCAGTAGTTATACATCTTCAACTGGAGTCATTGTAGTCATACTACTAGTAGTTATACATCTTTAACTGGAGTCATAGTAGTCATACTACTAGTAGTTATACATCTTCAACTGGAGTCATTGTAGTCATACTACTAGTAGTTATACATCTTCAACTGGAGTCATAGTACTCCGCATGCTACTTCGCCTGCTGTCAATGCGTATAAGTTCTGCAGTGCTCCCTGTTATACTGACATCATCATAGAAATCTCCAACTTGAGAATCTGAAAATGATAAAAAAGTTTTAAATGTCTGGGGGAATACAGTAAATATCTGATATTTCTTTCCCTACCATATTGCTTGATTCTTCATCTTAACTTGAATCTAATAGTGATGAGGCCTTATTCTAAAATTTTAAAAAGTTAGTTTCACGATGAAATTACACTTGCATTTATTTGACTTACTGAAGAAATTTCATTAACAAAGAATAATAAGTATATTTTCAGTATTCAAGGACGTCCCAAGTACTCATTTATCTTTGGAAATCTTTTAAGGAAGGTAACAAGCAAGAGACAAAAAAGCAGGTCTTGATGCCTAGCAAATGTCAAGAAAATGGCTTATGTCAAAAAACGGTTTATGTCAAGGGACTGGCTTGGTCTCATGAAAGGGGGGAGGGGCTGCTGTGAAAGGAATGGCTTACGTCAAGGAACAAAGTAATAACATCTTGTTATCTATATCTATATGAATCAAATAAGTGCTGTGGAGGCGGTATAACGTGGTGAATGAAATGAGCTCCAATCAATTAAAACCCATTTATGTCATAATTTACTTAAATCCTTAAAATCAATGATCTTCAAAGAATAAACAAACGCCATTTCTTCCAGAACTAGAGTATTTTTTTCAAACTAAAATTCAACAAAAACTTCCATACTACAGTGATCTAACAAATACCTCTACCTGTTTATTTGTGCCCCTTTAATCCATACTCAGTACAATATTAATGCCAAAAGTTTGTTGTACAACCAACATTTCATGTAAAATGACACAATAGCTTGCTGATCTCTGGATGTTTCAGTAAATATGGAGAAAAAGAGCACAAACAATATAGTAATGTTGTGTTTTTACTGGTAAAACAACTGAGTGTAAAGTTGTGTCTACTCTGCATTAACCTTGCAAGTGTCTTGCCTTTACACCTTGTTTTATACTATGTTGGATTGATAATGAATATATTTGTGTTTGTTTGGTTCAGATTTTTGGCTTAGTTTTGCCACCAGTTAAAACACAACTTCAGGTTTCAGCTGTACTAGCCTACTATAAAAAATTTATCCATTCTACCAACAAACTTACACCACATAGTTAGTCAATATCCAAATTTAAAATTCTGAAAATATTCAACAAATAATAGTAACAAACTGTATGTTAGAATGACTTTGTTAGACAAAGTAACGAGAAAGGATGAGAAAAGACAAAACAGAACTAAAAACAAAACACTGTCAAAACAATAGACAAGACTTAAAGCTACAGAAACTGATTGGTCTTATTTAGCAGGGGCATTAACAAAAGGGCCCTCTATATGCTATTAAAGGAAACTAATAGAATAAGATCGTTATGAAATATCTGATGAATAAGAGTGTGAAGTAATATGTATATAAAAGAGAAAACAAAGGGCTGTCATATCAACAATCCAATCACAGAAACGCTGACACACTTACATAATTGGGACTGATGTATAAGGTCAAGGTCACATGCTGAACCACTAACTGTGAATTGCTCTGTCATTGAAGATGGAGCTGTGTTGACTGGAAGTGAAAATTGTAAAAGTTGTAGAACATGTTTTATTCTTGGTTTTAGATTTGAAATGCAACATTTCTTTTGCATTTGTAATTTTTTGTATCTGGTAATGATTTCAACTTTGTGTTATAGCAAGAAAGTGACAGGCAATGCAGTGATGAAAAGGAAATTTCATGAAACAGATTTTTTAGATGTTGCAGTGTTCTGTATAATGACATTGGCCAAAGGACCTACAGGCTTGGGTAATATAAAACTGTCAGGTTGGGAACCGGAAATAAAAAACAAACTCCTTAGAATAGATTAATGGTAAAGCAGTCCAAATGTCCTTCACAAGTAGATGGACAAAAGGTTTGGCAAACATGCACCCAATTAATGGCATCTGACTGAATAATTGTAGCAATCAGTATGGCTTATTGAGGGAAAATATAATGGACATACTAGGCAAAACAAAACTAAATATACAACATCCATGCTTAGTTTGTCATTTTCCAGGCTCCTAACCTTGCAGCAAGAACTGTTTAGTTACTGTCAGCTATGGGCTGGAGCTCTAGTGTAACCTCTGTAGCATGGAAGAGATCAGTGGGGAAACCCATTTGAGAGAGTATTGACCACAGTGGCACATGGCATGACAAATTCACACACAAACTGCTATACAGATGACTTTATGTTCTGAAACTGTTAGGGAACTGTACATATCTTTTATACTTAGTACCATCTGAATTCAGAAAGCTATTTTGCCTAACATATGGAATTTACTGGAAGAAGTACTTCATAATGACCAACACCCCACCATTCAATTACTATCATATGGGAGAGGAGACGGAAAACCCAGACAGTACTTTGACATTTGTTACTTTTCCAACATGACGACATTTGTTATATCTCACCTTCTTTGCAAGTTTCCATGGCATCCTCTGCATCCTCAGGAACATCTTGAGCATCCACTTGAAGTTTGGCAAAATTAATGAAAACCTAAAAACATGAATAAGGTCTCTTCTTTGAAACTAGATCATTCACAATTTTTGAAGTTAATAATTATCTGTGCATTGCTGATTATTCCAGATATTGTATATCTGACATATTTATTAGCTTTATAAATCCTTTTCTCATCTCCTCTTAGAACAACTATTACATGTATCTCAAGAAAACGATGACCAGAATTACGAACAAAACTTGAAAAATGCTATGTCATATTGCTAAAACATTTCAGTGATGGAAATGTGCATAAAGAACTTGGGCTGTGCCTGGTGTATGTAGTCTTATGTAGTCTGGTGTATGTGGTCTAATGTAGTCTGGTGTATGTGGTCTAATGTAGTCTGGTGTATGTGGTCTAATGTAGTCTGGTGTATGTAGTCTAATGCATGCATCAAAAAAGAACTTAATTAAGGTACACCTGGGTCAACCTAATTTAATTCACTGAGTAATCCTTTCTTATGTCTAAAAATAATTTCAGCTATACCTGGTCTAATGTAGTTTAATTCACTGAGTAATCCTTTCTTATGTCTAAAAAGAATTTCAGCTATACCTGTTCTAATGTAGTCTGATTTACTGAGTAATCCTTTCTTATGTCTAAAAAGAATTTCAGCTATACCTGGTCTAATGTAGTTTAATTCACTGAGTAATCCTTTCTTATGTCTAAAAAGAATTTCAGCTATACCTGGTCTAATGTAGTCTAATTCACTGAGTAATCCTTTCTTATGTCTAAAAAGAATTTCAGCTATACCTGGTCTAATGTAGTCTGATTTACTGAGTAATCCTTTCTTATGTCTAAAAAGAATTTCAGCTATACCTGGTCTAATGTAGTTTAATTCACTGAGTAATCCTTTCTTATGTCTAAAAAGAATTTCAGCTATACCTGGTCTAATGTAGTCTAATTCACTGAGTAATCCTTTCTTATGTCTAAAAAGAATTTCAGCTATACCTGGTCTAATGTAGTTTGATTTACTGAGTAATCCTTTCTTATGTCTAAAAAGAATTTCAGCTATACCTGGTCTAATGTAGTCTGATTTACTGAGTAATCCTTTCTTATGTCTAAAAAGAATTTCAGCTATACCTGTTCTAATGTAGTTTGATTCACTGAGTAATCCTTTTTTATGTCTAAAAAGAATTTCAGCTGTACCTGTTCTAATGTAGTCTGATTTACTGAGTAATCCTTTCATATGTCTAAAAGAGTTTCAGCTATACCTGGTCTAATGTAGTCTGATTCACTGAGTAATCTTCTATGTCTAACTCCTGGCGAACAGATTCTAATTTTCCAAATAGATAAGACAGGAGTAGTCCCTGTGAGGGCAGCTGATATTGTAACATGTTGTGGTGCTTCTCCTTCAGCATCACATTAGGGAAAGTGTGCTGGATGTAGTTCATCACAGGCTGTAGGTCTGGACTGTGACCCTTCACACGTAGTATCACAGTGTAGCCATCACCAAATCTGCAGAGATACACAAATATGATAATTAACAAAGCCATTCACTTCATATACAATAACATGGAGATACAAAACATCTTTCTATAAAAATCCATCCTTTTTGTATTTACATATGCTTTGAATGTTGCTGACATGTTGCCTTTGAACCAAATTTTACAAACAAACTTCTTGAAATGCTACCAGTCCTGAAGACCTGGCAGTAACTTACCTATTCTTCAGATGTTGTACACTGCCCATACATCTGAACCTGCCATTGACCATAATGCCTATTCTACCACACAGTGCCTCACACTCTTCCATGCTGAAAAAGAGAGAAACAAACTAGGAACATTGATGTAGAATATTTTCTGAAACTTAAACATTTCAATTCATGCCATGCTCATTGCTTCTGAAACACAGGACACAAACATGTCCTCTCCAAGTACATACAAATCAGCAACCTATAACAGATGAAATCATTTGTTCTCTACTTAAATAATGTCCAATAGTGACTTAACAAAAACAAACCTGTGAGATGTGAGAATGACGGACCTGCCGTCTTTCAGTATACTAGTAATACAGTTCCACAGAAATCTTCTAGCTTTGGGGTCCATACCAGTAGTAGGTTCATCCTTAATTAAGCAATGAAATAAGTTAAAATATATTTTGTTGAAATGTTCTACTTCAGTATTAAATAAATTTCATTCAAACATATTCATTTTTCAAATATTCTGATTCTCTGGACAAAGCCATCGTCTCACACAACATAGTGGTACATTTAACCACCTTGTAGGTATTTAATTAGGTACTTTATACACAAGCAGCTGTGTAGGATTTAACTGTAAACAATCTGTGTTTTAAATTACCAGAAATATGACTGGTGGGTTCCCAATGAGAGCTATGGCAGTGGAGAGATACATACCAGAAATATAACTGGTGGGTTCCCAATGAGAGCTATGGCAGTGGAGAGTTTTCTCCTGTTTCCTCCAGAGTATTCCCCTGCAGGCTTGTCAGCATAGCGGATTAACCCCAGCTTTTTTATACAGTACTGGGCAACCTGAAACAGAAGTAATACAGGTAAAACCAATGTTAGAGATTTTGTTATTGTGGCTAAAACATACCATAAATATCAAAATATCAAGCTGATGCAGTATTGGCATAGATGTTCAAAGCTATTGAAATTTTTCTGTCACAGATATCATACCCTGTTTTCTTCCTAATATGATAATGTCCATGCCAAAAAATACATAAACTTTCAAATTCCAGGTGTTCTCTCTGTACCTACCTGTTTTACTTCAGAAGAAGACCTTTCTCTCAGCCTGGCATAGAATTCTAGGAAGGCACTCCTCTCAGCCTTTCATAGAATTCTAGGTGTTCTCTCTGTACCTACCTGTTTTACTTCAGAAGAAGGCACTCCTCTCAGCCTGGCATAGAATTCTAGGTGTTCTCTCTCCGTATCTACCTGTTTTACTTCAGAAGAAGGCACTCCTCTCAGCCTGGCATAGAATTCTAGGTGTTCTCTCTGTACCTACCTGTTTTACTTCAGAAGAAGGCACTCCTCTCAGCCTGGCATAGAATTCTAGGTGTTCTCTCCGTACCTACCTGTTTTACTTCAGAAGAAGGTACTCCTCTCAGCCTGGCATAGAATTCTAGGTGTTCTCTCCCAGTGACCAACATGTCCAGAGCATCAAACTGGGGGCAGTAGCCAAGATTCTGGTGGACAGAGGGCATTTCTGACAGAATACTGAAAGAAGACATCATATTGAGTCCATGAGTTCTGGTGGACAGAGGGCATTTCTGACAGAATACTGAAAGAAGACATCATATNTGCACGGCGACGACGGCAACGACGGCGACGACAGACGCAGATGATGGCTATATGTACAGACACATCTGTGTCTGTACATAAAAAGACATCATATCAAGTCCATAAGTTCTAAAAGACAATCATCTGCACTAGTAGGTAGTATATATGTTAATATATTTTCAGAAAAATTAAGAAAGGATATGTTACTCTTCTACCCCTCGTAAGGTTGAAAAGTAGCTGTTCCTTTTTCAGTTTCTTTTTCTCTCCCTTTCACTCTCTCTCTCTCTCTCTCTCTGTGTTTGTGTGTGTAATGTTATAACATGCATACCTGTGACCTGCCAACTGTCTCTCCCTTTCACTCTCTCCTCCTTTGTGTCTTTTTGCATGTGTGTGTGAGTGTGTAATGTTCTAACATGTATACCTGTGACCTGCCAACTGTCTCTCCCTTTCACTCTCTCCTCTCTTTGTGTCTTTTTGTGTGTGTGCGTGTGTGTGTGTAATGTTCTAACATGTGTACCTGTGTCCTGCCAGGTGAGCATTGCCCTTGGTGACCGTCTCATCCCCAGTCAACATTTTAAAGGTGGTGGTCTTCCCTGCCCCATTGACTCCCAGCAGGCCAAAACATTCTCCCTTGGGGACACTGAAACACAACCTGTCCACTGCCACAAACTTGCCCTTCCGCCGCTTGTGAAACACCTGAAATAAGGAAAAACATAAATTATCAGTAGTCACAACATCCTTCCTGATTTAAAAGACAACATCTTTTGCTAGATATCACTACGTTTTACAACCCAAAACATTTTGACACAAAAGTACCTTTGTTAAATTTTCCACCCGCAGTATGTCCGACCTGGCCTCAGCTGACATTGCTCTTCTCCTCTCCCTGGCCACGTCAATATCTTCATTATCATCTACTGCATTCTCATTACTAGACAGCCTACAATAAATAATTCTAAAATAGCAATTTTTGTGTTAACAAACAATCATTTCTGTTGTAAGTCAACAATCCAAGGTATGAATTTACTTCTTTAATGACTATCTATGTCTACAATCTATTGAATAACTCTGTGTTTCAGTATGTGCCACCTTACAATTAAGTGACTGTTACCTTGATGTGCAGAAGAACTTGTACTCTATGAGCAGAGTAAAACCAAACCAAGCAGCACCAGACACTGCTAGTGCAAACAGGTTGCGACCAACTTGATCCCATTCAAATGGATCCTTCACTGCTGTGCCAGCCACTGAAAACAAAATATCAAAATGACAATCCTCACTTCAAGAAAGACATAAATCTAGATCTGTAGTTCAGACATTAAATACAAAATTTGAAAGCTGGTTCACTGCTTCTTTTAGTGAAACCACAAATCTTTTAAATAAACATCAAAGAACACATTTGTACTTATATGAACTAGTTAACAAATCCACTACAATGCCAGTTTACCATATGTCCCTGCCACATCACCAATCAGTTGATTGGCAGCCATGTCTATCAGGCCACACCCCCTTAGTCACAACTAACCATATGTCCCTGCCACATCAGCAATCAGTTGATTGGCAGCCATGTCTATCAGGCCACACCCCCTCAGTCAAAACTTACCATATGTCCTTGCCACATCAGCAATCAGTTGATTGGCAGCCATGTCTATCAGGCCACGCCCCTTCAGTAACAACTTACCATATATCCCTGCAACATCAGCAATCAGTTGATTGGCGGCCATGTCTATCAGGCCCCGCCCCAGGCAGTAGTGGGGAAGAATAAGAAACACCTGCCGCAGCACTGTGTTGATCTGCACAAGTTCCTGGAATATTTTAATATTTCAATTAACTCATTTATTTCCTGGATTACATTTAGTTAGCCAGTTTTTTGAAAGATAAAGACAATTCATACAGTTGCACAAACCTTTTTTCTATGTTTGCTCTAAGATTACTGATAAAATCTGCATAAAAAGTGATATTGTATTTTCTCTTACCTGGTCATCACTAAAGAACTCCAGGACATAAGTGGACAGGGTGGACGTCACTCCCAGAAAGACATTTACACAGGCCAGAGCCACAAAAGCTGTACTTGGAACTTTGAATAAGTAGTTGAAAGGAAACATCATTGGTATCATGGCCCAGCTGGAAAGTACAGTATATAGCACTGTGTTAGAGTTTACAGTTAGTAATGTTGAAACTAAAGAAATGAGAGCGTTATCAAATAAATTACAAATCAAATATCAAATATAAGCAATACAAGATGACTATACATACCTATAAAAGATAACACATACCTATTAAAAGAAGACTATGCCTATCCAAAGAAGATGACTTTACGTACCTATACAAGACTATACGTATGCATTCAAAGACTATACGTACTCACACAAGATGACTGTACAAACCCATACAAGAAGACTGTATGTACCCATAGAAGACTGTATGTACCCATACAAGACAACATGCATCTGTATAAGAAGACTATTCATACCCATACAAGACAACTACATACCCATATAAGAAGAGTAGCAGAACAAGGCATGGAGCATTTGTTGGGGAAACATAGGATCTCTCATTGAAGGCCAAAAACAGCAGAATACACAACACCATGGACACTGAGTAATTCATCTGAAACAGAGGATGTTAAAATGTCTTAGTTATATATTTGCCTAACTTACCAGTATATGCTCATGATTATAATGATCATGTAAAATTTATATTCCACGATCAACTCAAGACAATGTTGTTTAGTTTCTGTCAATGTTGCACTTACATTTAGTAACATATAACTGCCTGTCCCATTTCCCTACTAATAGTACTTACAATATCCCAGGCCAAGTGTGACACCCAGTATGTGACCCTGTTTACACCGCTAACAAACTGCAGGTGCTTGGAGTTGGAGACACGTTCCTCAATGAGATAAAGAACAAAGCTGGCTGGGATGAAGGACATGGCAAATATCACCCCAATTGCCACCAGAACAGAAATCCAGGCAGAGTTCCTAGGAAATAGCAACAGTCAATTTACTTCTGTCCATATTGACCCGAAAAAAGAACTTTCTCTTTTTATTAATTTTCCCACTTATCAACACAAAACTAAGCCATCCATTCTCATCACCTGTACATCTTTATTCCAAATACCTTGTGAAATTACAAGAATTACTCATTTTTTAGAGTCATAAAAACTTTTGGAAGGCATTCAACCTTTCCAGTAATTAAGTATTTTCTAGAAACACAGCATAGCTATAGTAAGGTAACATTTGAATAAAGCTTGAAGACACAAAGCAGAGGTGTCCACTCACAGAGTGTCTCTCTCTATTTGTTTATTGGTGGGAGCCATTGGGTGGTTACTGACTGTGATACCATACTGTGCTGGGTCTTTACCAGGTGGAAGCTTTGAACGCAGGATGACATTATTCATGGCATTCATATAGGACGCCATTGCAGCCCATCCCTTGTTGTTGAACCAGACCTAAAATAGTAAATGTGGATCATTTGTTCATGTAGAACACTACAGTGTAAAGCAGAGGTGCTGGCTCTGTCTGTGTATAACCAAAAATATCTGAAATATTTTCTTTTCAATAAAACATTTAAATGATACCTAAATTCCATCTCAGTACCATTAAGAAAGATTTACACATTTGATTCTATTGCTGTAAGTCAGCACTTACCTTTACATTGTTTTGCACAGCCACATTTTTAATGAGAGCGTCAATGTCACTCCAGATAGATTCATTTCCATTCAACACAGGCTGGCCATTGTTAACTGCTCTTGATAATCTGTCTACCACTTGATACAGCTGAGAGGAGTTCAGCTGGACAAGCTGGTTACGTTCACCAAGGGAATAGCCACCATATCTTGATATACAAAGTATAAAACTCTTAATATGGTCACCATGAGAATAGCCACCATATCTTAATATACAAAATATAAAACTCAAAATTATGTTATTATTATTATCTTCATATGGCATCAAAGTTGTATGAAAGATACATGTATATAATAATGGTAGTTGAAAATTATGTATAAATCAAATTCTGGATGTTGGCGTCTCAACCTGAGAGTGGACAGTTAGTTGCTTGATGTAAGTTCCAGAATTTGATTTATACATATTTCTTATCCTAATCTAACTGAATAAGTAAAAAAATACCCTCATTAATTAAGATACTAAAGGAAAACATATGTGATGTAACCTTATTCTCATTGTTCTATACACCTCTTACCCAGCTAGCCAAACCATCTTAGCCAGCTAGGCAAACCATCTAAGCCAGCTAGGCACACCTCTTATCTTTCACTATTGATTACCTTCTTTTCTTGTAATCCTCCATCGTCTTGACCAGCCAATCACTGACATTCCTTCCTGTCATGTTCACCAAGCGGTCAGTGTTGTCCATCACTCTGGACGACCCCAGGGGACCTCCAGCACCTGTTGAAGGGAAATATAGGTACATATATTAACTTCCACTGTGTCTGGACACTACAATGTCCATTACTGTACAGATGACTGCTCATAAACATATTTGGAAGGAACAAGCACAGAATAGAACAATAAACAGTATCTTAACAGTGGGTTAGATCACCCCAGACTAGTATAACCTTATAACACTGTATATACCTGGAGGACAGGTCTGATAGCCTGTGTCACATGAACATGATGGAGAGTCCAGACTGTTATAACCTTACTAGTATAACCTTATAACACTGTATATACCTGGACCTGGAGGACAGGTCTGATAGCCTGTGTCACATGAACATGATGGAGAGTCCAGACTGTTATAACCTTACTAGTATAACCTTATAACACTGTATATACCTGGAGGACAGGTCTGATAGCCTGTGTCACATGAACATGATGGAGAGTCCAGACTGGTATTGCCAGTCACAGCAGGGGATGGGGTCCACCTCTCTGCAGAAGAGGCAGGTGTGCAGGGGTAGCCTCTGAAAGAGATCAATTTTTATTATGTAATGATGTCAACAAGTTCTGCTTATAAATAATTGTTTTAAATAGCTTTTATATACTTTTTAACAAGGTCAAGTGACTTGCAAGACAAAATGTAAGGAAGCCCTTAGGAATCAATCACCTGATGGAGTACACACTGCTATTCACACATCTTGTCCCGATGCCTACAGGACTCACCTGATGGAGTACACACTGCTATTCATACATCTTGTCCCGATGCCTAGAGGAGATCTAATCTGCCGTTCTAAACTGTCCGCCAACATCGACCCTGGTGCATCGTTGCTGTAAATAACAATTTTAATTTTAACAAGTTATTACTTCAACCTTCTAGACCTAAGCTGAACTGTGTTAACCTACTATGTCTAATTGGGTACATTGGGTACATTCCTTTCATTAAGTTCTTTGTACAACTTATCAGTATCTAATATATATATATATATATATATATATATATATAACACTGTAAGATGAGGGTTGGTCCCAGTAATAGTAATATTTAATACTCATGCCTAGAACATGGTAAGGTGAGGGTTGGTCCCATTAATAGTATTATTTAATACTCACGTGTAGAACACGGTAAGATGAGGGTTGGTCCCAGTAATAGGGACATACATCCAGGGTTGAAGCTCCAATGCTGGGTTCTCTTTGATCACAGGGATTATCTTAGTGAAGATCATAGCAATACAGACAAATATTGCTGGCAGGAGGATCTGAAATGTGGAATATTATCTTAGTGAAGATCATAGCAATACAGACAAATATCTCTGGCAGGAGGATCTGAAATGTGGAATATTATCTTAGTGAAGATCATAGCAATACAGACAAATATCTCTGGCAGGAGGATCTGAAATGTGGAATATTATCTTAGTGAAGATCATAGCAATACAGACAAATATCTCTGGCAGGAGGATCTGAAATGTGGAATATTATCTTAGTGAAGATCATAGCAATACAGACAAATATTGCCGGCAGGAGGATCTGAAATGTGGAATATTATCTTAGCGAAGATCATAGCAATACCGACAAACATCTCTGGCAGGAGGATCTGAAATGTGGAATATTATTGTGACATCATTTTCTTTATACTCAGATGTGATATTATTTCTATTGTACTGAAATGATGGTATTTATTTATAAATGTTCCATAACAAAATTTTACTTCCCTCCCCAGAATATTTCTTTACACATTTAAATGACATCAACTACTTTAATATCTTTATATCAGCATCATACAGATGTGTCCATACCTCACACACAAATGACATCAACTACTTTAATATCTTTATATCAGCATCATATAGATGTGTCCATACCTCACACACAAATCCTTTATAGCTCCTCCTGACATGGTGGAACCTTTTCACAAACAGCGCCAGGAACTGGTCCTTGGTATGAGCCAGACCAGTCACCTTGTGGGAGCCCGCGCCACCCTGGGCTGTACTGACCTCACTGACTGGCATAGAGGCCACTGAGTCTGAAATCCACACATACAGATAGGGTCACTTTGTGTACAGACAGAGTACATGGTAATATGGTCACTTTGTGTCAGTATGACATATATTCTACATAATAGTGACATGGTAACTTGTGTTGGTATGGCATATAGACTACATGGTGACATGATTCCTTTATGACACAAGTAATATATGGTAACATGGTTATTTTGTGTCAGTCTGATATACAGAGTACATGTAGGGACATGGTTCCTTTATGACATAAATAATACATGGTGACATGGTCACTTTGTGGCAGAATTACAACAATAAGAATGTACTTCATTATAAGATATGGTTTCCTTTCTTTCAATATTAATTTTTTTAATGTTTCTGAGTTTGAAATTTCACTTCTTGGTCACATGTGACAGTAAAGATAGAAAATACAAAAACATCACAAAATGAGCAAAAAATACAAGGATAGTTTTTGAAGGTATCAGGCAAAAAGTAAAATGCAAAATGTAACTGAATTGTATGGAAAATACATATGTAGGTGATGGAGTCTTTTCTTTACAATCATAAAGGTCTAAAGGAAAGTTTGCAAAAAGGAAAAAAAAAAGCAAACTTGTATGTGCCTATTTTAATATAAAAGTGTAACATTAAAGGTATCTAGAATTCTGTTCCATGGCAAACTTTGGGATAAAAAATTAGGTATGAAATTAGTTGTAAAGAATACCCCCTACCTGTTCTTGGTAATCCTTTTGCTGCTTTTAGGAGAGAAGTCAAGAGAGGAAACATCATATATATTTTCTTTTTTCAGAATATCTACTTTGTAAGCAATTTGTATCTTCTACCATACAACTGACATCCTGTGACTCCTACTAAATGTAACGACAACAAACTCTAGATAGTTGAAAATATCTGTCTAAATTCCTGACCTCCTCAGACTCTAACATACCTGCATCTTCAAAGTCACTGTCCACAAGCTCATTGGTGTCACTGATGTTCAACACAGGCTTTGACTTCTTGAAAAAATCCAATTTCTTTTTACGGAAACTAAGTCGGGTCACAGGACGGGCAATTTTACCACCTACATAAGTAAAATATAAAATTTTATGAAGGTTTGGATGTAAATTATGTTTAGCATTTATGCATTTAATCTGTAGAACGTCAAATTGCAGCAAAAATGATCTGTTATTTTAATGTGACGTACAATCTGTATCAAGCAACAACTGCTTGAAGTTATATAGCTAGCAGGTTTAGCACTAACCTTCAGTGTACCGTTCTAATGCATTGCGTGTTTGTTCTTCATTGACATCATCTACCCCACTCTCTTCAGCCACTTTCAAGAACACCTGGCAGACACAATGGATTGTCTTACTTCAGTATATATATAATTGATTTCAGTATAATACTGTTATTATATGACAACTTTATTGAGTATAAATTTCAAAAGACACATATAATGTTCATGAAATAAGGTTGGGGAAATCTTATCTACCCACCTCTTCCGAAGTAGTATCTGATATCATGAAATCTTATCTACCCACCTCTTCCGAAGTAGTATCTGATACCATGAAATCTTATCTACCCACCTCTTCCAAAGTTGTATCTGATATGCCATAGCTGGTGATGCCAAGTTTGGTCAAGTTACTCTCCAGGGCCCTGAAGAGGGCCTCAAATGCCCCCGTGTGGGTCCCCTTCCTCAGGCAGCTGAAAGCAGAGCTCCGTACCCATGTCTTCCACAAGTTTGGCACTGGGGATGAACTTCTGGACGAAGACCGCGACATCACTGCTGTCTTTGACTGGAAAACATATCAACATAAAGCATAAATATACAGACTAATAAATGCCATGCTGACAAGATTCTATAAAGGCAGCTTCAGGAAGAGTGCACAGTGTCATTTTACTTACTATTTTGACAGGTTTAATAGAGGGCAGAGGCCGTCTTCTGGGTATGCCAGCAGATAGTCAGAATTTTTCATGTTACATTGACGGGTATTTTTTCTGTTGGAAAACGGTCAAAAATATCTCTGGATTCACCCCTGACTGTATCAATTTGAATATGATCATCCAGTATGATCATCAAGTAGATGTTATATCTATTAAGGTAATTAAAGTAATGGGGTCAAGCTGTCAGACCTCACCACAGGGAACAGGATCCTCACACTTACCACAGGGAACAGGATCCTCATACTCTGGTGGAGGTGTGGCTGATTGGTCACTATCACTGTGCTCAGACTTGCTCCCTGTGTCACTCATATCTGCAACACCTTCATCTTTCTCAGAGACAAATTGTGCCTGGAAAAGGACATAACAAGCAGTTTTCGTTTTAAGTTTCCTGTGAATAGATCTGAGGATCAAGAAAGATCAAGAAATATGAAAGATATTCTTCACAATCAAGCATAAACCAGTTTACCTTGATATCTGGCATGGTTCTCTTACTAACCTAAGCAAGAAATATAAGAGATATTCTTCACAATCAAGTATAAACCAGTTTACCTTGATATCTGACACTGTTCTGTTACTGAGAGCAGTGACTGGTCTGTCTGCTGGCTTCTCATCACTATTAGCCTTGACCATGGTCAGATAGTAACCACTGCCATACTTGTTCTTTAAGAACAGACTGGAGCCACAGCACCGCAGCTTGCCCAGGGAGATGATGGCTATCCTGTCACCCAAGATATCAGCTTCATCCATGTGGTGGGTGGACAAGATGATGGTACGACCTGCAAGGAAGACATACTTAGTATAATTCCTTATCCTTCTCAAAGAAAACAACCAATGACATCTTAAGTTGCTTTATTATTTAAAAAAGTTAGCACTTGAACCCTACATTCAACAGCCAAAGTGACCTAATGGTGTATTTGTCTTTCACTGTACCTTTTCTGTACTTGACCAAAAGATCCCAAATTGCTCTCCTGGCATAGGGGTCCACACCTGCTGTGGGTTCATCTAGAATCACTGTCTTAGAACCACCAACAAAAGCTATTGCCACAGACAGCTTTCTCTTCATCCCACCTGAAAAGGAACACATTAAGTAACATTAATATTAATATTAATATTTGTTAACATTAATATTAAGTAACATTAATATTAACAAATATTGACCTGCAATCATAGTATTACATACCTTGATTCAAAATCCAGAACTATGCATTGAATTTATCAATTAGTTTTGATCAAAATGTACAACTTAACATAAGGCATTATATTAACAAAGCATTTTTTTATCTTGTGTAGTCAATGTGATAAGAATTCCATGCAAATGAAAGAAAGCAAATAATTACTAAACCAGGCATATTTTTTCACTATCTGATACTTGACACAACCAACCTGATAAGTTTTTCGACAGCTCGTCTCTCTTGTGGGGGAGTCCGACATCTTTGATCATCCCCTCCATCTCCTGTTTCACTTCCGCTTCAGACATTCCTTTCAACCTGGCATAGAACCACATGTGTTCCTCTACTGTCAGCCTACAAATGTGAAAAGACAACATGTATGTAGAAATACCCTAACCCTTCAACCTGGCATAGAACATGCATTCCTCTACTGTCAGCATACAAATGTGATAAGACATAACATATATGTAGAAATACCCTAACCCTTCAACCTGGCATAGAACCACATGTGTTCCTCTACTGTCAACTTAGAAAGCCTGGTAAAATACTTGCAATGTAATTTTTTTATTGAATTTTTTTTTTTCTTATTGAATAATCAAACTTAATATCTGCCACATAAGCATTCACTTTATAATTCTAATGTTCATAAGAAAAAAAACATATCTATGAGACTTACCCATCAAAAAGGACATTATACTGAGGACACACCCCCAGACTATTCCTGATGGTGTCCATGTCTGTCCTGATGTCTTTGCCATACACCACAGCCGTGCCTTCAGTGGGTGGGAACAGACCTGTCAGCACTGACCTGTAATCATAATATAACACACAGTGGGTGAGAACAGACCTGCAAGTAACACAGAATGATGGTACCACCTGCAAGTAACATGACACTTATACTTCTGTTTCTACATAATCTATGTCAATCCTGGTGGATCACTTACATTGTGGTTGTTTTCCCCGCTCCATTGTGACCAAGGAAAGATGTAATCTGCCCCTCATAGAAGTTCAGTGTGAGGCCATCTACTGCCACCTTCTGGCCTCTCCTGTATACTTTACGTAAGTTCCGTAGTCCAACTCCTAAGGGAAGATTTGTTGGTTCTGATTCAATGTCTGCTGAATCTGAAATGAAACTTCTCTTTTAAGCAACTTTATGAACAGGCTCTTACGCTAATAGCATACAAGACACATGACCACATTTTTGGCACTGAAAAGATACAAAATAGCTGTGCCAGATGCAATTTGTACAGAGAATCCCTTGATCAGATCATGGAGGTAATCTTCAACTCAATCTACAAACTTTTGATCTTGAAATGCTTTAAGAGACAATTACCTTCCTGTCTGCCCTGCATTTCATAGTTATGAGACACGGTATAGTTCCCTGTCACTCTCCCCACATGTCCATTGAACCCTTCCTCAGTATTGGTCTCCTTCTGCTGAAAGCCACACCAGTAGGACCTTGTGACAGGAAAGTACCATGGTCTGGGGATGCCATACTCACCTGCAAGGAGGACAAACAGATACCAGACAGTGCACCAGGTTGTTTGTACAAGAAAACTTGACCTACTCAAATGACCTACTGTAGGGTGACGTTATCATGAAGAGAACTCAAATAATACTTGTATTTTCTTTGTTGACCAAATAAGAACAAGGCCAGTTTTTTCTCAGCAATCTTTCCACTACTGTTCTCAACATAAACAACACACACTTAAATACACATTGTTCTGTGTTCACTGATAAACCTTACCTGGAAAGACAGCCTCAATGTACCAGGTAAGTATCCAGTAAATGACAGCATCTACCAGCATCATGAAGATACAGAAAGCCATACTGAAGCCATCATCTGGCTGTGGACTGCTGGCAATGTTACTCCACTGGATACCTACAGCCTGCTCCTCATACTTGGCAAAGTAACCACAGCCCAGACCAAATGCTACAGTGGACAGCAGGGCCTGCAGATAGGAGACCAGACCATCAAATATGTATAATATGGAATAAATGTTACTGAATGGGGTATATTTCTCTTACAACCTAATAAATTTTTATAAGTAAATTTCAGTCTGAGTCAAAGTAAAAAATTTAATCATAAAAAAAACTTTATCAGCTACTCATTTAAGCAATCCAATATTTTATATCTCAGAGTGAGTTCACTGTCTCCCACAACACATACAACTGACACACTTACTGAGGCTGCCTTGTCTCCTGTGCTCATGTATTCCTCCCACTGTATATCTATATATATAGAGAGAGAGACTAACAAACTTACTGAGGCTGCCTTGTCTCCTGTGCTCATGTATTCCTCCCACTGTATATCTATATATATATAGAGAGAGACTAACACACTTACTGAGGCTGCCTTGTCTCCTGTGCTCATGTATTCCTCCCACTGTATATCTATATATATATAGAGAGAGAGACTAACACACTTACTGAGGCTGCCTTGTCTCCTGTGCTCATGTATTCCTCCCACTGTATATCTATATATATATAGAGAGAGACTAACACACTTACTGAGGCTGCCTTGTCTCCTGTGCTCATGTATTCCTCCCACTGTATATCTATATATATATAGAGAGAGAGACTAACACACTTACTGAGGCTGCCTTGTCTCCTGTGCTCATGTATTCCTCCCACTGTATATCTATATATATATAGAGAGAGAGACTAACACACTTACTGAGGCTGCCTTGTCTCCTGTGCTCATGTATTCCTCCCACTGTATAATCAGAGTGTAAGGCAGGTACAGCACAAAGTACAGAAATCCCCCACATGCAGCAGCAAGGTTGGCCTTGGAGAAGAACACACTGAACAGAAAGCACTGACTGATGGTGGCTACCGTGAAGGCCATAAGGAAGACAAACAACACAATGGGGTCAGAGTGTTCTAGTACTCTGCCAAACTGAAATGGAAAGGTTTTAAGAAGGATCTAACATAACATGACTAACCCAGATTCATCATTATTTTAAAAGGGTACACCATTAGGTGTGCTAAATTATTTTGATAAAAAAATCACACTCAAAATAAGGCTTTCAGCGAAAGTATTAATTTCCATTTTTTTCATAAAATTAAATTTGTTTCAGTAAATGTAAACCTTCTTCTAACAGTGCTTTGATAAAATAAACTTTCTTCAGAAAAGTGTATCATCAATATGTCTTACATGTAAAGTTATGACTAGCAGTATGACTGTTATAGTCATCATCACTAAGGAGTTTATGAACCAGGCCAGCCAGTGGATGCCATTCCCCAGTCCCATGATCTTCATCACTTCCTTGAGACGCCTCTCCTTCTCATGGACAACACCTTTCACCACCATCGCCACTGTGTAGATCCATGCCAGTACCATGAACAGTGGCATACTTCTGGAGATAGCCATAGTGAACCTAGAAATATGAAGTGGAACATTCTACAGCCACTGTGTAGATCCATGTCAGTACCATGAACAGTGGCATACTTCTGGAGATAGCCATAGTGAACCTAGAAATATGGAGTGGAACATTCTACAGCCAATGTGTAGATTCATGCCAGTACCATGAACAGAGACATACCTCAGGAAAAAGGCATACTGGCCTGCTCTGAATCTTGTGAATAGCCAATATTTCTGTCTTTATATATATATTCAGTAAAAGAAATATCTAAACGCTACAAAAATAATTCAAAAACAGTGTTTTTTCTTTCCTTGAGGAGGTGTATGTAATTTTGTGTGTGTGTGTGTCTGGGGGGGAGGCAGGGGGGGGGATTGTCTTGAGATTGTTCAAGGATGGATCACTTACTTGTCATAGATATAGCATGGGTACGGGAACTGCTGTACAAAGACACCAATCCTGTCCTCACTGCTCGTGTGTTCCTCAATGATAGCACTCTCCAGCAGGTCCTGGATATAAGAAAACCCAAAGACCAGGTACTTCAGGTCTGGGAAAGGACTGGCTCTAGGACCTGGCCGCCAGTATCTGTAACATAAACATTACAATTAAATATTAATATAGTAGATCATGGATGTATGCAAATCCATAGACCAGGTACTTCATGTCTGGGAAAGGCTGCCTGTGTGTAGCTGTAAAAGAACATCATAATAGTTAAATATTGTAAAAAAAAAACAATACAGTTCAATAATGCAGTTGCTGAAGTTTTAAGACAATGTGTTAACTGGAAATTTGTGAATACTGACAAAAAAATCTGTAAAATAAGGTGTGGTTATCCCTTACTTGTCCATGATTTGCCTGGTGTTGTCAGTTTTTTCCCGGTTCAGTCGCAGTCTGTAGTTCACATGTGTGGGCAGGACGGTGGTTTCATTGTCCACATTGTCTATCACAATGGCTGAGAGATAAAAGTAAAAGGAAATAAGATTCAAAATGGCCTTGTTGTCAAAGGAACAATTCATAAACAGATTATTATTGATCAGTTTTAGGGGCCAAAGTGTACAGAGAGACTTGCACAGCCTGGTTTTATTTAAGGACCCTTCACTTTTTCATTACCCATTGTCTGTTATAACTTCATCTACTAGTTATTTTCCTAAAGTATATGATCAAGTACCTACCTGCCCAAAATTGGTTAGTTTCTATCAGTTCATGGCTCCTCTTGATGATTTCAGTTTCATTGGGATGTCCTTCAAACTTTTCAAACTCAAAGCACTGAAATTTACAGACCACGGGAGAATGTGTTAGCAAAGTTATAACTTATTCTATACAGCTGGTCCAAATAACCATTTTACCCAATTTAACAATCACATAACAAATATATTACATACACAATAATACTGTTAAAAGTCCCAAGTTATTAAAAACAAACATGATTCATCTTCCTTACCTGGGATGCTTTGAGTATGGCCCTCATCATCACGTCAGTGTAGTTTAAGGAATCCTTCCAGTTATACCTGGGCAGTCCATTGGCATCATAGTCTGAACTATCTAGGTATCTGAGGAAGTAGGCTCTGGTTGAACTGTTCTTCCACTGCTCCCACATAGCATCAGTAATATTCAACTGGGACACAGCAATACTGAGAACTGGGAGACGAGCAAGCTGTTCTCTGCTTGTAGTGTTTAATATATCCTGAAGGTAAAATATAACACATGGCTTTGACTACTTATCCAACAGGGAGTTTCTTTGATTACATTAAATTTTGAGCTTGTAGCAGATTCTGCATAATTGATTTTTTCTGACCATCAAAAATAACAAAATTAGGTGAAACAGATACGGATGAAAATAACCCTTACCCTTAAAAGTTGAATGTTGCTACTGGTGCTAAGGTAGTTCTTTAAAGTTGGAGAGTAAGCCAACCAATCTTGTGCCACATTCCTTATTCTTCCCAAGTCAGAGAAGAACATATTAGCCTGGAAAAGTTTTTTTAAATAATTTTTTAAGTAAATTTACTTGATCACAACCTTAAACAAATGTCAATAAGGAAATCATACAAGTTGATTTTCTTTTACCAAATCAAAAGTTTAAATATTTCAAAATATATAAGGAGTTTATGTCTGACAATTTCTTACCCTGTCCATGAGTTTATTAGTAAGAGGGGTATCTGGTGTAAATAGAATTTTGCCAGTAACCATGGGCTCCAGCTGCTGCCACAGGGCTTTGGTAAATTGGTTGGTTTTGAACACAGCAAACAGTTCATCATTGCAATAATCTGGAATGTTAAAAAGTGTGTGATCAATTAAGAAGAACAGTAAGACTAAATGAATTATTCTCTTCAATAATAACTTGTGGTAATAAAGTTTCACCTGTACATGTATCTTAGTACTGAAGACACCCCGACCCTCACTGCTGCTTTCCTCTAAATGGAAGTTTGATCAAAAAACTTTTCAGCTTAATGATCATTCAAGCCACCAGCATTTTCAATTTCACTGAAGGCAGAAACAGGGACAAACATGTACCTGGTGATACAGGTATAAAGTTCACCCTAGTGTTTCTGTCTGTACCTGGTGATATGGTGATACAGGTATAAAGTTCACCCTAGTGTCTCTGTCTGTACCTGGTGATATGGTGATACAGGTATAAAGTTTACCTTCAGTCT